TGGAATTTGGATATACGGTTTGATTGTGCGTATGCCATGCACGGAATTTACAAACGAGCGACGGGATGATGTAGCCTGCAGTATTAGCGGTAAGCGTGCCAAGTTTTAGGCCGCTCCGATGCCCGGCAGTATTTTATTTCGATTATTATGTTGGAACTGGATTTATCTTGTTTCACAAGCTGACTATATTTTATTGTCTCTATGGAGGTATATGGGGCCTTTACGACATTCGGTTTGAAGGCTTTAACCACTTGTTATAGTTTATTTTTGCATTGTATTGGATTAATGTGGCAGTCTGAGGTTGTCCTAGGTGGTTTTCAAGTTTATGCACCGGGTTTTAATATCTTTTAGCGATTTTACGACAACCGTTTACTATCCAATCAAGGTGACAGCCGAGCGTGATTACTACTATTAAGTACACATAAGACCTTAACTGTGCCTTAAAAGCACGCAACATAGGTATTCAAGCAATTTCGTTTGTTTGAAAATGCATTGAAATTAAAAGTGGAATGCGCAATGACTGTAGTCATGTAGTTGGACATTCATTTTTTTAAGTCTGGGGCCTGCAAGCTGCATTTTGATCTTAATTTTCTTTACGTCATGTCAAAATTTTTAGCTATTGTAAGACGTAATTCACTCTTTTGCTGTGTGATTCTTGGTTTGAAGTTACTAAATTGCTTACGCATGCAGCATAAGGTTTCAACAAATCATATTTACCGCTTCAAGCTGACTCGCCATGGGCGCAGACATCTTGACAACATTATCTGCGCATGCGTCATCGTTGTTCCAATATGGACGTTTGAGGAGGCGGGGAGTCAAAATTTAAAATTAAATACCTTATAACTGAATCATCATATCACGGAATTCTCGGGACTACCTTGAACAGGACTTTCAAGCAAATTCAAAGTATGTGAGTAATTTGTCGTTGTAACGTTTATCTGTCATTACATAAAATCTCTAATATTGCTGGGCATGTCTGCAATTTCGCCCTTTTCAATCGATCATCTGCCGTTTTGAAACTGACTTTTTCGAGAGAGAAAGTTGATGACAGCGGTGATTGCATGCTTACTCACAACACACAGAGTCCTTAAAACGAACAGTTTTTAATTTGGTATTGTAAAATTGCTTTGTGAACACAAGAAGCGAGAAGATCATTACCTCACCATAAATTACTGTTCATTTACTAGTAACTGATTTGGAAAATATTTGTAGTGGCTGCTACGATCTACTACTACGGTAGTTCTAGATAATTGTTCATGTTAATCCCAAACAAGATATAGATAAGCATTATTTGTTGGATGAACTCGGGGATAATATTCCTGCATTTACTAATTTTTGAAGGGAACTCTTTCAAGCCATTAGATTTCACTAGTAAGTTGTAATTTATAATTAATTTTGAAGAAGTATTGACATTTGGGAAAGATGAAGGGGGACCTCAAATACATGTAAAAACTAGCATGCTTATGATACCACATAATCCTACTTAAAGTTATGGTCACATTTGGTTTCTATCAGATGCTATCTTGCATATATTTAGAATCTAGTAGGATGTAATTAGTCATAAATTACATGCATCATCAATTTCATATACTAAGTAATTGGGCAATAAACCATCATTCAGCTCAGTGTTATTTGGTCATTTCAGTAGAAAATGCACCTGTTGACTTGGTGTGAATTGTTTACTGCTAGATACTCTTCACATAGTGCACAAGATACGTGACTTGCTTGATGTAATTTCTAATATAATATATACACAGCATTAGGTTGTGGACAAGTGGCTAATTGGATCAGGTGGCAAATATCAGTGTATTTGTTGGAAGTGTTGACTAGAAATATTTGCATGTCTTTTCTGTTTGTCCAATAATTCCCTTTGCTTGAATGCTTTGATGTATTGGCAACATGCATATAGTTGTGGACAGTTAAGGTGTGATAGAAAGCAAGTGTGTGTGTTAGTGTGTGTGTGTGTGTGTGTGTGTGTTCATGCTTGCATGCTTGTGTGAAAGAGAGAGAGTGAAACTGGGCAAGTATTGGAGAAATTGATCTTGGCAAATTTGATGAGGAAAGTGCAATTTGGAATATAGACATTATTAATAAGTCCTTTTCCTTGAAAGGGGATTTCCTGTATTAAAACAACATTACAAAGTTCTTACTAGTAAATTAAAAAGAAAAATTTAGGGTAAAGTTCACTATTGGGGTTACCGATATTACACACGTAAAGCATCATGTTTCAGTACTCATTCATTATTTGTTTATTTATTTATTTATTATTTAATTTTTTTTACTTATCTGATTTTTTTATTGGCTAAGAGAATAGTTTGGCAGAGTATGACTTTTATCATGTAGAAATAGACTATTACAGTCTTTGCAACTCATGCGTCAGCATGTAGTGGCAAAAATACAGTTTGACAGGTAAATCATGCACACTAAACTACAGGAACATTGATGAATTCAGCAATTAATGCTGTGTGATGCCCATCCTTTAGGCCAGCTGCATATATCCAGGACATAATCACTTGAGTTAAATTAAATTGTTTAATGAGAGTGATGTCTAATTGCCTAATGACACACCAGGGATGCTCCCCACCCCAGGGCTATGAGCACAGTGTCTTCTTTTATACCGTGGACAGTCTCTGTGGAGATCTCCTTGAGTGTAGGCTGTCCACTGGGATATGAGCAGTTGCTTGGGAATACCATGATTACCAGGAGGGAGGGATATGAACTAAATGATATTGTACTATTATATTGTACTTGAGGTATTATATTCATGTTCAAAAATTGGAATATTTGCAGGAATATGAACAGTGGGAGAAAGAAGATAGAGGTCTTTTCTGTGGTTTGAATGGGATTTTTTCATTTAAGACAATCTTGTTTTGTAAATTATTATTATCTTGCCATTTTATATATGAGACAAAGATGTAGATTTTATTATAGTTAAGTATTCTTCCTCTTTTTTTCTTATCTTTTGTTCAAAAAAATTTATGTGAAATTATGTGTAAAGAATTATGTAAATTGCTGAAGAAAGAGTGAAAGGCTAAGACCTGAGAGCCATACTTTATGTCATTCCATGAGCAGCAGATGGTCCGAGTAGAATATTGATAGGAATTTCCATTAAGATAACAATACACAGAACTTATAACAGTTTTCCAGATCATGTTATATTCCTTTTTGTACTGAAGGCAGTTCAGAAACTCTTGAATGGACATTCATAAATGTGGCAGTACACCTTTACTCATATGCATGATTTGATACAAATTTGAGGAAAAACTAAAATATTTATACTTAGTGGGAGAATGAGCATCTTGTTGAACACCCAGTCCTTGTACCCTGAAGGGCCAACCTATGGCCTAGATATGAATAAGCAATGGCAAGGCAATATTTACTGTACAAGCAGACCTGTGCCAAGGGTTTAGAATTCCTATTCCAACATATGGTAATGTTACATAGAGGTCCCTGACTAATGGAACTTTTATGGATTGATGGGGTGAAAATATTGGGTCTCCATTATGAATTGACATGAATGGTGTTATGTTTATTAGAGGAAAACTGGCTGTATGTCATTAATGAAATGGTTAAGTTGACAGAATTTTTTTTCAGGCCCCTTTTTCTCACTCCCTCTCTTTCTGTGTATGTGAAGGGATTTTGATCACTTGTATAGTTAAATTACATGCAGATTTTCCTTTCGATATGAAATGTGCCTTTTATTGAATCATGTATTAGAAGTATCAAAAGCAGTTTTAAATTATGTTCTATTGTTTATAAATCTGATAGTGAAAATATCTAGGAAGGTAGACAACAAAAAAGGCATTATTGTAAGTTACGTTGTATATTAAAAAGTGAACAATACTGACAACTTACCCTTTGTATAGCTGGCAACGTAATGCTGTTTTCATTTCCATAAAAAAAGTTAGGAAATATGTACTAGTACTGGCTTTATTTATATATAAAAGGCATTTGCCAATGACACAGATATACCAGTAACTGGTCATGTGACTATTAGTTCAAAGAAGGGAGTTGGTAAACAAGGTTATCAGAAGTTTTAAAAATGAAACCGAAAAGTAGATAAAACTAGCAGTGGTGCATAGGACGGGCATTGGGATCTCAACAACTTTTTAATGTATTTTTTCAGAATTTCAAGTTTTTTTAATTAAATTGAGAAGTTCAGAATTATCTAAATTGTACTTTCATGAAAAGTGCAAATTTCTTGTTCCCGTGAAGAAACTGTCTGGTATCAGAAAGAGCAAAAAAAGAAAAAGGATCAACATTTTCATATTGGAGTGACTCGTCCTCCAGTCCTTTTGCAGCAAGATGAACAAAAACTTCACCCGCATTGTATTTTCCCAACTAATACTTCTCTGATGTGATTGTTTGGCAAAAGAGTTGTGTCTACACTGAGGCATTCAACAGTTTGTTACCAAACAATAGATGTGTGTTTAGCAGCTCTGACTCAACACAAACTCCCAGACCACATCTTTAGTTACAGGGGATGTTCTTTAATGAGAACCTTAATCGATGGAGTAGCGGCGTACCTGTGTAAGGTGATGCAACATTGTGCAGGGGTTAAGCTGGACTAATTGAGCAGGAGATAGACAGGGGAAGTTTGTGTGTGTGTTCATAAGAATAGATTTGTGGCAAATTGGAGATAATAGGCTGAGGCAGCTCTTTGGGGTCTTCTGGTGCAGGTAAGCAAGTTGGATGGTTTGGCGAGTAAAGAAAGAGGGGAGGAGTGCAGCTGGGAGTAGATACAGTGTAAGGCAAGTGAATGGTGTATATTTTATAATATAATTCAGTGTGTGTGTGTGTGTTTGAGTGGTTGCGTGCATGTGAGAGAGAGAAAGAGAGAGAGATTGTTAGTCGGTCCATAGTTTGCTTATGATCTGTCAAGCCAAGATGGACATAATATGGCATTATGACTAAGTATTATACAGATCCTAGCTGTTACTATGGTGTCAAAAACAGAGAATGGAAGAGAGTGTTGTCACATGCTGCCCAACTCGCTTTAGATTTTGATCATATGATCATATTGTATGTATTTTAGTTTTAAAAAGTATGACATTTGGATTTTATGCTGAAAGCTGCAGAATGTCATAATGATAAAATGTTACCTGGTTATAAGACTCACTGACTCACTAGTACATACATTGACAGACAATACTAATATGGTCACACTCCCTGAAGCCCCAGTGTCTATTTAATTTTTTTCATTTAAAAGTAGTTTATATAGTTCATATGCAACTAGGTAGAGCAAACTTGGGGAAGGGGGGTATCCTTATTAGTATGGTTGGGTGACAGTGGCTTTTATCTAGCTGTCATCTTGTTGATTTGCCTGACTTTGATAAGTTTTATCATATAATAGATTATGAGCATTTTTTAGGCTTAAATAACATGTTGAGTGCATATGGCAAGCAAAATAGCACCATTGGGGTTTAAGGGGAAAAAAAACAGCTAAATGCAACTCAGGATATGCCTGTATTGCTTCAAGGGCGATTCATATTGACAGGCAAATTGGCTGTTGACATGGGAAAACAGTTAAAACTGTCAGGGTCTTGAGGCTTGTTAGATTTAAGACTACTGGTACATGGTTGGGGGATTTGTTTTTGGAACACTGTAAATTTTGGATTTTTTTACTCTATTAATAATAAGATGTTTCTGAGAAAAGTTTGCGCTGATAAATATTTATGGATTCATCCTCCATCTTACCCATGTTTTTATTTAATGGTTAGTATGTTTAAAACTGTAACTGTTGCAGTACTAAAGATAGGTTTTTCCTAATTGTTATTTGAGTCGCATAAAAGACATTTAAAGATGGAAAACCAAGATATTGTGAACATAAAAAAACATTTTTTTTTGCATGACAGACTTGCTTATATCTCTCCTCCTCCCCTTCCTTGATACTGCTGCAGTAGGTACTACCAGACTACATGTACTTGTCTTTCTTGAACATTGTAGCTCTGTTTCTAGATTAATTTCAATATTCATGAGTATGGAGCTCCTTGCACAGCTGTAGTGGTTCACTCCAGACACTCAGAGTAATTAGCTCTCAATATTAGACCCCATTTCCATTGACACTATCAGTCTTCATGGATCGACCCAACTCTGCGGAGAGTCTAGCTGACTGCAGTCGGCTTAACTGAATGATGTCCTCCTGACGTTCAGTAGAATACAGAAAAACTGGTGATTCTATGAGTCATTGGAAACAAGAGAAGACTTATCATGCAGTTAAGTTGATTCCAGTCAGGGAGAGTCCCCTCCAGAGTTGGGTCGATCTATGTAGACTGATGATGTTTGTGGGAATGGGGTCTTAGATAACACAACCAGTCAGCTGTGCATTCTGATGTGCTATTGCTTACACTTTGTCGTATTAGCCACGGATTATGATCTCATTTAGATCACACAGTCAATATCACAAGTCATCAATTCTCCTTCACACCAGAACAACCACTTTACCTTGTAGATATTACCTCTATTATGGATGAGAAATATATCTTCGTTGCAAATTATAATTGTTAGGTCAAAAAGAATGTGCTAGATCTATTTAACACCCCATTCTCATAGATTAGATCGACCTACATTGGATCGACCTAACTCCCTGGGGGGTTCACGCTAAATAGCTGTCAGCCGGGCGGACACGAAAGTTAATTACCCCTTAAAGCTTGTAGTAGGCGGGGACGGACACTTAAGGGGGATTATCTGACAGTAATCTAGTGAGACTCCCCGCGGTGATAGATCGATCTAAAAGTTGTGAGAACAGAGCCTAAGGTAATCGTTATTTTAAGCATTTAGCTAGAAGTTTTTGGAACCCAGGAGTAATTCATATCACCATATTTTGCACAAGCTGACCTGTGAAATTAGCTAAACTAGTACTAAACAGGTTTTAAAAATCCCAATGGGATATGCATTCCTATCCCCAGAATGTATTAGGGCAGTCCTTGGTATTATCTTGGTTTTCCATGGGATTTTTGTGTTGGCAAAATGTAACTGGCAATGACACCCCAATGCCACGAGTTCCATGCCCCAGACAGAAACCTCAGACAGTCTAGTTTACTTATGCTGCATTCTGAGTTAATCGGTGGACTAACAGATCTGCAGAGCAAATATGACCGACCCACGGGAAATCTTAAGTACCATGTTATCAACGCGAGGAATGTTTTCAGTGTCTCTTGGGGGATTATGCGGCAAGCTTTCAAGTGGGCCAACCATAATTGATCCACAGGTCTGTTAGTCCATGGATCAACTTCTTTTGAATGCCTGTAGTAGGCAACTAGGAGGTCTTGACTCAGTGTCTGGATATGTAGGGACCCAGGCTACATACAGGCCAATAATCTTTAACAGAACTATGACCACCTTAATAAGGTGCCTGGTGATGAATTTTCCTATGGCATATTGTAGCACGGCTTTGCCAATCAATATTGAATGTATGGTAATTATTTTCAATGAGACATACTGAATCTGATTATATGGAACTGAGTTGTTGTTTTAGAGAGAGGGGGGGGGGCAGTTTAGTAAGCTCACTTTTGGATATACTAGTTACCATAATTTCTTTTAGTCAAGTTACTGGCTAGTATTAAAAAGATTTCTATGATAGATAAGTTCAGTGAGAAATTTGTCTGTACTAGTAAATATTTTTATGTTTCCATTTTCTTCCCCAAATGAGAATGACTTAAAAGAGTAAGTCCAGTTACTGAGTTAGTTGCTGAGACTTGATGTTTTCTACACTTCTGGGACGTAAGTTGAGGTTCTGTTCCTTGTTTATCCCTCCATGGCATTGCAACCTTTCCACTTTTGAAGGTTAACCCAGTAATTAAGTAATAATTGAAGAAGCAGACCCACTACTAGTAGACACTTACGTTCAGCTTGATTTTTCTCTTTGAGTGTTATATCTTTGTCTACAGATCATCATTCAATATTTCATGTTTTGAAATTTAAAAAAAAATACAAACAGAGCTCCTACTGGCTATTATAGTAAACTGAAGATATTTTTTGAAAAAGCTAGAAAATCTCCTTTAACTTCACCCTCCCCACTAATCCCCCCCCCCCCCCCAGGGGTTGGTGGGAAATGCACAGGCAGGCACATACTGTACAATATGCTTATATATAGTATGTGCACATACAAACACACAACACAAATGTTACATCTACTGTACATACCTGAATTTAATGTCTGAAATATATGAAAAGATCTTGTAGCAATTCTGCTACGGAGATAGCCATAGTGACCACCTTTATTCTCTCTCTCTCTCTCTCTTTCACACACACACACACACACACACACACACACACACACACACACACATATCACTTCCCTTGCCTCAATCCTCCCTCTCCTGTTCAAACCTATAATTTACCAGCAGTTCCATACACGCTGGCAGTATGTCATTTGACCCTAGTTTACCCCTTTGTTATTGTTATCATCAACAGTGAATAACTGGACATGGGATATGTAGCTCTTACACCCGTGTCTGTACAATCAACTCAGTAGTGTTTAAGTGTCATTGACAGTTCTTGAATCACATGCTCTCAGAAAATTGTCAAGAATCTCCCTGCACAGCCAGGTCCATTAGTCAATATATTAGGATCAGAATAGCACTGGCAGCACGAAGCATTGTTGAAGAAGAAGTACAGTTCCATGCATTTTGAAACATTAAAATGTTTTAAAAATTATTTATAAGAGGACTGTTGGCTTGCAGCTTGATTCAGTGTAAATAAAAAAAAAATGATTGAAAGCATGGTCTATGCAGTAAGCGTTAATGTATGAAAGGTGTGCTTGGTATTTTATAATTTCACCTGTGTTGTAATCAATTAGGTGTCTGGCAATGCTTCATGGGTGTGTAGTTTGAGAGTTCTGGAGGAAAAACAACAATTTTCAAAGGCGCTGTGGTGTCTGGTTGTTGTAATTCTAGTTCTTAAACTAAAAAATGGTGATGGTCTGGGAATTCCACAAGCTGGAGAATGCAGCCATCACTGATCAGTGATGACAAGGGGTTTTCCCAGGATTTGGGGTGCAGGGAGCCCAAATTGTAAATCTGTAATTTGGTCATTGGTTTACAAGGAGTTGAACCCAAGCCAGCCCAACCAACCAACATAAGAATTTTTAAAGCCTTTTAGCCATCTTTTAAGGGTGATGGGTCTATTGGTGGCACGCTCTCGGAGTCTCCTGCCAAATATTTAAAAACCCACTTGCCCTTTGGGCTCCAGTGGTTAACAATATACTGGCCCAGCTCAATGGCAATGCCCAGAGGCAATAAGTGAATGAATTTATGAAATATCACTGTCCTGGTTATAGTTCTAGTTTCATATGACATGTGGCCATGTGTTAATTTTTAGAATGGATAACTCTCCTTTTTTTTCCAATTCTTCAGTGTGGGGGTTGTAACTAGGAAATGAATTGTTTGTAAGTCTTGGATGAGGTCATTTCTTTTCTCATGTGGTGAGATTATTATTGGTCTTACTTCTCGAAATTCCACTATTTGGTATAAGTTGAAGTCTACATGGAAATTATGTGGTTGGGTATTATCGGATTTACTTCTCAGAATTCTAAGAGTAGTTGGTATAAGTAGAGGTCATATGGGTGGTTTACCTAACTAAGATCACAACTGATTACTAGTAAGGTTTCACATCTTCTAGGCAGGGAATGTGGTAAGAAATTGTGGTTGTGATGTGATTAAGGTGAAATTGAGAAGGTTTTTTTTTTTTTAAAGTAACTAATGAGTTATTTTATTTGGCAGTACTTACAAGTGGGCTCCCTGTCAGTCAGAATTTTCTTTGACCAAGTATCTGTGTAGTTTTCGCTAATTGATTATTTTAAACTAGAATAGTCATAAATTTGACAATTATAATTTTCATATTTTATTGAGGAAAAATAAGGATAGGTTTTGAAATGGGCAGAATTTTCCTAAAGGCTTGGGTGAACCTAGATCTATCTTTTTATCAAATTATTTGACTGACATGCCAGGATAATGCATAATGGCCCACTGAACTATTCTAAGTCCACTGAGGGACGTCCCCGTAGATATTACACAGCCTGATATAGAATCAGGGTAATTTTCTCCTGAAAAATTACTCGTAAAATGTTCGCACTATCGACAGAACTCTAGAAAGAAATCAATACGTTTCTGGGTTCAGTCTGCTTCCAGTCGAAATCATTCTCCAATCATTTCCACTTGCTGTGACAGCCACAGACAATCTATTTAGACAATTAATGGCTATCTTTGCTTATCTTTGCAGTTTTGTGGAAACTGAAGCAGCAGGGAGGAATACGAGAGTGACAGGATCAAGGTGAAGGTCATTGCTCCAGGCTGGTTGAAACTGAAAGGACAATATGGCGGCAAATGAAGGTGGGTTGACTGATTGATTCGTATTCATCTATCTATCCAACCACTTATTTGCTCACTCATTTATTTATTTATTTATTTATTTATTATTTTTTTGGCATTGGAGAATGTTTTTTTTTTTTCATTCTGTAGGCAATTGGCTTTCATCTCGATATATATATCATTATAATAATATAATCACTCTAACTGAATTTTAAACACTTAATTTGAAATTAGATACGTAACTTTGTTACAATAGGAGATAAAAAAGACTTCTTCAACAAAAGTAAAAATGAGATGCTGATGCAATGGTTTTAATAACAAATTACGTAGAATGAACCTTTTTTGTGGAAATTGATCTAGAGCTCTTGTTATGTTAGAATTGATACCAAAACAAGTCTGGCGGGCAGAGGAATGAACTGCTGGGTTCTCATGAAGAAAAGAAGAACACTCAGACTTGGGTTGGTGCTGTGAGACTCCAGACATTTAACTTGTACAATTTAAAAAGTCAACAACAGATTGCTTTGGCCTTTTAAACTTACAAGAGAATGTCCTGAAAAGGGAAAAAAAGCATTTGTGGGTTTGTTAGAGGATTTTTATCCTATTGCAACCACCCTCTCTTTTATGTCTGATAACTGATGCTGAACAAGAAATTGATTTGAATTGAGGGGAGGAAAAGTTGAATTATTTTATCATGTTGATGGTCCCTTTGAACTTAGGTGAGGTATATCTGTGGTAATATTTAACATTCCTGGTGCATGTTGTTGTTCATTTAGTCGCGTTTCAAGTGAAGTTGGGTCTACCTAGTTTTATACCACCTATCTCAACAGGCTATATTAGTATGTTTGGCTCAGATCTAGTTAACTCTCTGATGCCACACCCACCACCATTGTAGTAAAGGTAATCTGTTTGCCAATTAGATGTCTTACTGTGATGAGCTAATCATAATGAGATCACTTGCTGAGATTATCTGTACTTAGACTTCAGTGGAAACAAGGCTTGGGCCTAATTTTTCATGGAGTCTTGAGCTTTGAAGTTATCATTTAACAGCAGTAGGTGTTGTTGAAAAAGGTAGAAGAACAGCATAAGACTTAAAATGATGGTGTGGTAAGAGTGCTTGGCACACTGAGATGAGGCAAAGGAAATTTGTATAGGATAGTGAAAAGATCTGTGGGGGGAGAGAAGAAAGGGAGAAATGGATGGGTTGTCAGGCAGTGAGAGAAAGTGGGTAGTTGAGGGTGGTGGGTAGTTGAGGGGGGTGGGGTGGGGAGGGCAGAGAGAAATTAAGGCACAAACAAATGGGAGGAACACCAGGGCGAGAAGCCAAAATCAAATGGAAAAAAAGATTATATCATATACCTTTTTAATTGATCACATTTGTTAATTTGGGATTTGCCTCTCATATTAACATTATTATTATTATTGCTCTTTCGGAGTGGTAAGAGTGAGCACACATGTCTCAATAGCACCAAACTAATCAATAGTCAGCATTACAACTGCTTTCAGAGGCAACTGTATTCGTGATTGTAGAAGCACGATTTTATATAATCTGGGAGAGCTACAGTACTGGAGACAATTATAATCTCTCTAATGTAACAAGCTTTAGAACAGCTGGATTTCCTGTATAACTCCCTACTCAATTTCCTGGTTCATAATTTACATTTTCGGTACTCATGTTTTAAATCTCTGTTAGCTAGGCCTGTAGTTATTTTTTTCTCCCAACACTTGAAATTATTTAACTGGGTAGAAGCAAATTTGAAATTAGCCGAAGACTGTTTGAACATTTTGATCACAATTTTATCAAAGTAACATTGATTTGGTGAAAGATAAATTTTTGTCAATGGCGATAAATGTATGAGACAGTTTAAAAATAATGATAATAATAAAATTTAGCATTTATTTATTGCAGCAACTATGGTGTTCAGTTCTCTTTATTTGAATAGCCATATAAAAGTAATATGCACAGACTAAGTATACATTTGTTAAGGGGTGAGATGTCTCTCACATTTCTGTCATTCACACACTGTTGCAGTAAGCAGTATCATTACATATAGTCCTAAATATAGCTGATTCTGCTGCTGGCTACCATATTGAAAATACTGGTATATGAAGTGACTTGGTCAGTTCTCTTGAAAAATTCAGTGTGTAATCGACTGATTGTGTGTCAAGAGTATGAGGGTTTTCTGGTATACATGGCAAATTAACACTGATGAACTGATTTTTCAATTTATTTTTCTATTATTTTATATATACATTATAGTAATACGTATATATAACAAAGCACACCAGGCCTGTAGTTAGTGGATCATATATTTACAACTGTAAACCTGTATCCATACATTGTGATGTACAACCAGGAATCCATTTCCTTAGAGAAATAAGTCCCTACTAGTATTACTCAGTACAATTCATACCTTCGAGATGATATATGAAGTAACACTCTTAAGAGAATATGCAGGGATGGGCTATATATATAGTTACTGCACAAAATGCTGATGTTGATTCTTCATAGCACTTGGTGTTTGTATAAAACCTTGGAGGCACCTGATAGACAAATATATCCCTCACCAAGATAGACATAGAGCATTCTAGGGTGTTAAATATACTACTAGTTAGTAGTATATGTAATATATTTCACAAACTCTCATGTATTAAGAAATGTGCCAACTAACAAAGGCAAGAACGGTAATTCCTCTCAGTGTGTTAGCTAATATAGACAGCTTGGAAGGATTGGGATGTGATATATAATAGATGTTATCAGTCAATAGATTACTAGTAAAGGGCAGTGTCTTTATTCCCTCCACGCATCTTATCACCTTAATGTGTTAAAAACATGGCACTTAAAAGATGAATTGAGACAAATGAGGTGTGTGCCTGGACCAGACATGCAGGGGTCAGTTTGTCACATGTCCAGGAGGTCAACTAGTAGATTGGATGAAAAAGGGGTCAATCTGTCTATGTCTGTTGGACTCAGCAATAGGAAGATGTCGGTAATGAGTGAATATTTGCCTTGTAAATGTTAATTCTTCAATTTTTTATTAAAAAAAATTAAAGAAATATGAATATCTAAACCTACAAAATTGGACAACTAAACCCAGATAATAGATTTTTATGAAGAGTTACCATAGTGAAAATTTTACATAACTGACATAAAGATCACAATGAAATTATAAAATAAAGTTTTTATCACTTTTCATAATATCAAGAGCCATGGGCAGTTTAGTATCACTATGTTGCATGTATATGCAGTAATTTATTTGCTTATTGTCCTGTCATGCTGCAGGAATGTGTCAGCCCACAAGAGACAGAATCTTGACCATAGGGACTTGGCACAATCAGATCTCATAAGCATTACCACAGGGTACGGGGAAGGTCCTGACACACTTTCTAGTATATATAAATACAACATGGTTTATGACTTGGATGTTGAGAGGTTATTTTACCACAGGATGTTGGGTCTTGACCACAGAATAGTTGAATAATGCTGCAGGATTTATTTGTAATGATGAACATGGATTGCTGTGTGGTTTTTCGTGTATTTTATTTAGAACAACACAAACACAACACCAAAAGAATAATAATTATGATATTTAGATTGTGACTTGCTGAAGTTGCTGTACCAGATTTTGTGAGGAATAAAGCTTTTTGTAATTCAAATTCTGAAATGAATACAAAAAGTGACTTTGTTGTAATTTTCCTCTCCAATTTGTTGGAAAGTCAGTTAAATAATTGCAGAAAACAGTTATATTTTATTGTACAAGTACAAATCTGTCTCTATTTGAGAGTAGGAGCTGTCATCTTTAAATCTTTTTTATATGAGACACTACTAATATATCTTTGCTTCATCTGTTTTAAAAAAAGCAGACTGAAGCTCCGTGAGAAATGCATTCATCTGCCTAAATGGTTTTAGTCAATAGGGCAAGTCTTTATCAACTTCCTTCATCTCTTAGGCCTCCTTGTCTAAAATAGATCTTCAAAGGCAATCTCCCACATGGCACATCCTGGTTTCCAGCTATCCTCATTCCAATTTTTGTGCTGTAATATGAGGGCCCCAGGAGAGGATGGTGATAATGATTTTTTTTTTACACTATCTCTTACTTTCAGTTGATAAATTCCTAGTAACATATTATTTGTATGTTTGCATTGTTATAAATAAAGTGCCTTAAGGGTTTGTTGTGTGTTTGATGAGATAAAGTAAGAACAGTGGAGTCGTGTTGCTGATATTTCTGCTGCTTTAAAACATGGCGGCACTGTGTATGTTGTATACAGGGATATGGTGGTGGTATATATATATATATATATATATATATATATATATATATATATATATATATATATATATATATATATATATATATATATATATATATACACAATTGCTATACATTTATCGTAGGTGTCCCATGATTGTGTTAGGGGAGACGTAGTGGTAGCAATGCTGCACCATGGGAAGAAGCATTTGGTCCATTGACATGAATAATAGACATCTTTTACAAATGTGTTTTAAACAGAGAATCTCTGCTATTCATATCCTCTAATTTTTAGCAATATGTGTTTAAGGGGTCACATTCTGTTAAGGCATTCTGCAAAAATCGTAAAAGATGAACTGTAACCACGGAATGAATACCTATTAATTTTAACCACGTGGTGGTATGAGGTTCTGGTCCAGTACTGGCCAGGTGCTGACCATAGCCTAGTGAAACATGTTTTCTACATTTATTTGGTAAATACATGCTATTCCTATGGTTACCAAACAATAACACCAGAGGCATGAAAAGCACATGTCCAACTGATTCACACCCCTTTCTCCTTGAAAGAAAAATTGTAAGGATTGTTCATCTCGTAAAATTCTTACAGTAAAATAATATCTGAAAATGATGTAAAGATCGGAGGTGGATTGAAAAACAGTATCTCACTTCTTAACTTGTTGTTGTCTTGAGTTAACTCCTTTTCCATAAGTTGTTTTAAGTTTAACAGCAACTTTTTAGTCCATTAATGAATTACCATTTTATGTTTACGATCTTTTCATTTTTTTCTGACATTTTGTATACCAACAACTGTAACTGGAAATATTTAAAAGGTCACTATCTGTTGAAGCAACTACTTATGCGAAAATGCAGCCCAACACATGGCTGCCTAATATAAATTATTTTTATGCGTGTACTTATTAGAGGAAGATATGGGTTCATTTATCCAAAATATGTCTAAGTTTTCTTCTTTTTTTTTTTTTTTTTTGTTAATCTTACATTTATTTTACTGGAATAATTGTAATTACTAAACTGAAAATTTTAAGAATAAAGTATATATGTTGGTGTAACCATAATATTTTTAGTAAATCACCAAATCCTTGTGATCTTTCAGAGGAAATTGTAATGACCCCATCCAAAAAGGGGAAGGCCACCAGAATAAAGATAGAGAGAAAGCGGAGGAAAGAGCTGGACCCCACCCAGATAGCTCATGAGGCTGGAGGGCAGCATAAAGGACTGGTGGTGGGAAAAGACATTGGTAAAAACAGTCTGCTTACACTTTCTTTTATCCATTTGATTTTTTCCTCCCTCTCTCTCACTCTCTCTCTCTCTCTCTCTCTCTTTCTCTCTCTCTCTCTCTCTCATACACACAATCTTGACTGCACAGTGAAAGTTCTCAGTGGCTAACCTATTGCTGCTCCAGTATCACCTTCAACACTTGTTCCCTTGCCTAATGTGTTTACACAGAAGTAGAGAACAACACACAAGTTACATTGGCCACACACACACAGTACAGACTTCACAGCTACCCAACAAAGGAATCAAATCAGAACCTTCTTTGATGTCTTTATCTTGTTAGATAAAAATTATTGGGTTTTCTTGTTGAAAATTGAACAACGTAGCCTGCAGCAGGATTTTGAAAAGAGAGAATGATTGCGGTTGATGTGCCCAAATAATCATTTACTTAATGCAGATGTTGGGTCTAGCTATGCTGACTACAGATTGAATTTGATTCAATTTTTCAATGACATTTGTCATTTCTCTATTCTAAATTATATTTTGATTATACTTACACACTCACACTCACACACACACACACACACACACACACACACACACACACACACACACTTCTGATATTGTTGACACATCTTTATGTAAAAGTGAAGGATCTACCCCATGACTGTTTTTGGAACTTTCCAGGAGAAGACAAAGATGACGCATCCCCACAGTTACAGCTAGAGTTCAAGTGTTGGTTAGAAGATGCCAAATCTGGAATGCACATACCAGTAAGTGATGATAGCATGACACCCCACCCTACAACCCCCTTCACCCCCCCCCCCCCCTCCCACACAGCTCACATTCTCACAGCTTGCACAAGCCCATGGATGCACAAGCCCTTTCATCCCAGTTTATAGCCTCTACGGGCATCTTTATCCAGTACAGAATGTAAATTTTGCTAATTGAACTATGATGCCAGGGTCTTTCTTTAAGGAAATAAAGAGATTTAGTCTCAAAGTTTCAGGTTTATCAGTAAGTAACAACAAAATTAGAATTGGGGGTAGGAATATCTCAGCTTGCAAAATTATGAAGAATCTTCAGATCATTAGCTGATAGCAATAAGAAGTTTAACTCAATTTAGATTGTAATAACAAGCAGTTTGCTTTGCATTGATAGCACAATTAACCTCTGTCACTTTGTTGACTGCATCATTGCATGCAGTCTCCTGTTTGACTAGCTTTACAGTCACCTAAATCAGTGTCTGAAATAAGGTACAGCTAATGAACGTGCTGGGTTTTTAAGTCTTAATACATGCAGGAATGTCACTCACAAATCTCTGTCATGTAGAAGGCTTATCAGACTGCCTGATCCTCTCCCTCGGGGACTTTTAAAGTGGCAAACACTCTTTGCTTGGGACAAAGAAACATTTTACAGACACTTGACCATTTAGGACAACATCAGTCATCATTCTTAGCACTTTGGTCATGGATTTTTGATGTAGCAGGTAAAATATTAGCTTTTATTTATGTCAAAGTGATCCTTTGAAAGTGGAATACTTATAGCACTGGATGGCATCAAGGCAATTTGCTTTGCAGTGTTTCCAGTGCCTTGTGATTTACTGCTCCCAGTTAGTGTGATTTATTTATATAAGATTTATTTATCACTTGAAAATTATGATTGGTTATGTAGAAAGCAAAGACTGTTACTCAGATCGTAAAGCTAATCAAAAGCAGTTTATAATTTTTTGGCTAAAGTCTACATTTTAATTTTGTGACAAAATACGAGTGTGATGTGATAATGGTAGAAGCATCACTTTTGAAGATACTGTCAGACAATCATCTTGGAAGCCTTGAGAAAATTGTTGTGTAATTTCATAGCCTACAGCTGAGAGAAAAGTGTTGTTTTATGGAGACCGATAGCATCGAACCACAGTGCTTTCTTTTCCTTGTTGTGTTACCAAACTTTGAGTGTATGTGCCCAGATAGGATCACAATGAAGATGTTCAGTACCTGGTCACTCGGATTAAGTGGACACAGAATGGTCCAAGGTGGTCATTAAGCCATGCCCATTAGGTAAGAGAGTGACCGCCTGTGGACATTAAGGGCAGTTAATAGCTGAAGGTTCAGTTTGTGACATGTTGTTAATGCCTTGATTTTCAAAGTGATAACAGTCAAAGACTGTGATATTAATACAGGCCTGGATGTCAAGGTATGTGGTAATACTAAGAGCATTGTGAGGAATGGGATATATTTATGTCATTTTTAGGAGGTGGACCGATTAAGTGCTAGATATTGGAGATAGATTGTGTGTGAGATAGGGAGGGATATGTCACATTTTGTTAATGCCCCTCCCCCTTTCTCTCTCTCTCTCTCTCTCTCTCTCTCTCACACACACACACACACACACACACACACACACACACACACACACACAGAAGAGAGAGAGAGATGGTGGGGGGGAAGAGGCAACAATTTCTAGTTTTTACCCATCATTAAACAAATCTACGTGTATGATATCAAAAATGTATGGTACATCATATAGTATGCTATTTTACATTCCTTGATTCCAGATTACAAGATTATAATTTGTGTCAGCATGTACTAGTACCACTGCAAAATCAATCTGAAAACCATCACAAAATCACCGTGATTATATTTTTGCATTTGTACTTGTACTTCTAGCAAATAAGTCTTGATGTCAGTAGTTGAACCTTATTGTCTCCTTGCATGTACAAGGACATTAATTAACAAATGTAGTACTTGAAAGATAAGCCAGGGGAACGTGCAGCTGGACCCAATATTTCTGTATCAGTTGGTGATACACTTCTCGGCCAAGAAAAAGACTGTAGTTTTATTGATATTTGATGCTATATTGATGAAAGTTTTGTTGCCGTTTAGCAGTGGATCATTACGAGAGACAGATATGAGGTATTATTTTGCTGTTAAAGAAGATAGACAAAGGTCTGTTTTCACACAGAGCAATACAGTTGAGAAATTGACAGCATTTGGATGGGCTGTTACGACTATGATATATACAGCTCAGTTTCATGATTCAGAACTAAAAGAATGAAATAATTATCAGTTTAATCCTTTATTAATGAGGTTATCCCTCTCTGTCTATGTTCTCATTATGATGACCATTCAATGGTGTGGTATGTGGGTGAGTGCATTTATGGGTAGCTATGTATGTTAAAGCTGGGCTGAATATTCCTGCAATCCACTACCTTTTTTTTTTTTTTTTTTTTTTTTTTTTATGCATCCAATGTTATTTGTGCTAGAGTCATGGCTGTGTCCAGATGACTGAAGTCGGACTTGTTACTAGCTACTGATTACTTCAAAACAGAGTCACCTTTTTTAACTTCAAACATAGCGGGGACATCTGCAAGAGAAGGACTTATATACAGGTCAGGTTTGAAGGAAGTCTTACTCTAATTTTTTCCTCTCAAAACTTATCCTTCTGTTTTTGTCTGTCCAGTAAGAACCCTGTGTCTGTGGAGGCCTTATCATGCTCTGTCACAGTGACATGAACACAGTAGTCGTGATGAATGGGTCATAGCTTGCTATAACAAGTTAATTCCTCTTGCCATTAGCATGTTGGTCACATCTGGATGACCAGTTGACTGGCCGCAGAGCTAGAGAGGGGCAGGTTTTTTGTAGTATTATTATTATTATAGGAGGGGACACGTAGGCAGGAAGATTTGAGTTTAGAGTATGTGTTTTAGATAGAAAAGGTAAGTTTGAAATACTAACTTCCTTATGGAATTAATGTGAGTGTAGTTTAGAATTTTTGAGTATTGTTAGAACTTTATTTTTCATAGGACAGTACATTGGCTTCTTATTAGGCTTAGGAGATGAACATAACATTGCCTTATAAGGACTCAGGCTGTGTTTTTTATTTCTTATTTATTTAGTTTTTTCTATTCTTACCGTTTAAATGTGAGAAGACAGACTAATTTTATAGTGGTAGTTAATGAGGTGTTTAAGAAATTACGACGTCTTCCTTAGTTGTACATCTTTATCACATTAAAGGGGGTTACTTAGGCATTTTTATTGCTTCCAAAATAGTCTGTATTTGCATACTCAGATGCAGTGAAACTGTGAATTTAAAGAATTGAGGAAACTGATACTTGATGAGAGGCACAATTGTGCGTGTTGGTGGACAGTCACTGAAGAACTTCAGTTGAAAGATGGTTTTAATTTCAGCACGTAACTTTAGTCTGGAATATATGTGTAATATTAACCTGAAATAACAACTGTCTGTTAAAAAGTATCCTCAGACAGGTGGAATACAACTGATTTAATCTGCATCAAAATAGGCCAAGTTTTTCAGTCTTAATGTTAATAAGATCAACATTTGGTTCAAGTTCCTTCATGAAACCAGTTTTGTGTGCATACTCATTCCCTGCACACACGCATTGTTTTTTGGCCAGATGCAAAAGTACACTTTAAATTATATTAATATATACATGTATATACTGATGTCCCATAATAGCAAGCCATGTTTCGTGCCAAAGTAACATATATCTTTGAAATCAGAAAGTCGTGTCAATGTGACACAGCTGCTGAGAGCAGCTGGCTGCTGCATAGGACATGGGAAAGAGTTGATATTCACTTTACCAGGTTACACAGACATGTTGTAACTAAACATACTGTGACCGGCTACTTCATGTGGGTTTATACAGTATAGCCAAAATGGGAAATTATTGTGTAATATTGGTCTCCTTGCACCACCAAAGGCCAGGGTGTCAGACTATGTTATAACCTAGACTTTATTATCAGCCAAGTATCTTTCTCTGTATGGTATGTCATTAAATTTATGCACATTATTCAGTTGGAATATTCTGCCACGAAAACGGGTATCCACGTTAGGTGAACAAGTAAGCTTAATTAGATTTTTTTTTCTTCATCTCACTTGAAGAATAAATTTCCAAAACAAAACTCTGAAAACAAAAAAAAAAAAAAACATCTTACGCATCCAACAGTTCCTTTTTCTTTATTTAGTAAACTGACATTTCAAACTAAGTGCCCAAGAAACAGTGCTAATTTCCCCTTGCTGTGGGACATAAAAATTAAACATTAAATCTTTGATGTCTGTCTGGTTTCCACAGCAACCATAGAGGTACGTGGTTAAGGTCTCACAAGTTTGTACCAGGGCGGGGTATAATGTAACTTTGGTCTAAGTCAAGATGGAACAAATTTAGGCTTCGTTCACATGCAATGTCTATTTTCTAAATTCTATTTTCTATTTGCGGTATGTCTTATGATCACAGTCTGTGCCCTGAATATCCCGCGGCGTAATTACTGGCAGCGGGATATTCAGTTACTATAAGTTACTATAAGTAACTGGCTCGCACTGCCAGTAATTACGCGGCGGGATATTTAGGGCACAGACCGTGATCATAAGATAGCGCGAATAGAAAATAGAATTTAGAAAATAGACATTGCATGTGAACGAAGCCTTAGTGTGTGTTTAAACATTTGTACTTTCAAGAGTTCGCTGCAGTTGGCACATGAAATTAAAAAAGAAAAAAGATATGCCTGGGCCCACCTCCCCTCCCAGGTCATGATGTATATGTTAAGTAAAAACCAGTTGGCATAAACACGACTCGTTTTATAAGAAACAAAAAAGGTGGATTTTGTTATGGCATGGCCAAATTAATGTAATTGTGGATCAACAGAAAGTCTCACTTGCTGAGAGAAAATAGATTTAAAGGGGGAAAAATAGACCTTCTTGCTTAAGATTGCAATTTGGAGTCAACCTGTCTAAAAGTGCTATTGAAAGTGTTCATCTACATATGTGTGTGTATAGAGAAGTGAACTGTGAGCAGCACATGGTCAACATTCCAGCCTGGAGACTGACCAGGGTAATGACAGGGGTGACCACTGTGTGGAGGAGACATATCTTTATCATCTGAAGGAAGAACAATAGGATAATGTACTGATTGGACGTCAGGCAGGCTATAAGTGGACACTCACTGGACGCTGTTCTGTTGGTGTCGTCGTTGTCATTGTATCGGAGTTATTTGTACAGGAGGAGGCTTCATTGAAGACAAAAATACTGCTGAAACGGCAATTAAGTACATTTATATTCAATTACATTGTACAATGTTCAATAACTGCACTTGTAATGGAGTCAAGAAGTCATTCTTGATATTATATATTGTATAATGTCACTGCACTGAAACTGCTGTCCACAGTGCTAACAGACTGAGTGGACATTGGCTATCTGGGACTGGACACTTCTTTACGCCAAGATTAGTGCAGCTAGACTAGAGGAGTTTACTAGAACTGTTTCTCCGCAAAGTGGTTTCCACTTAAAGTTGACATTTGCCTCAGTGCTTATACCAGCGCCTAGATATTCACTCGAAGTTCTTGTGGACTGGGATTCTGTTGTGGATTTGTTTAGTACACATTGGATAACTGATTTGTGATTAGTGATTGTACCAAAAAAAAAAGGATTGATCTGGATTTAAAGTTGACAATTTTTTATTTTTTTATTGGAAAAAATTACTAAGGTAAGGAACATTTTAGGATTGAGGTTTATGGTTAGTTTGATAGTGAAAATTTGAACAGGAAAATAGTGGAGATGGTGATACCAGTACTCCATTTTATTTTGATTTGTAAGATTAAAAGAATAGGATCTTTGAAAATAATTACCCAGTTATATATATTACTTAACTCTTTTTTTTTTTTTTTTAGGTAATTGTATTTGAATATCACAGGATTGGTTTTATAATTGCACAGAGATTGATCACATTACAAATACAGTAACTAAGGGGTATCAGAAACTTCCATTTAGGAATTGCCTTTCACAAAATAAACACAGTTGGTTCTCTACACCTCCCAAGAGGTTGCTGAGATATCAGAAATGTCATCATTTTATCAGCTTGTTAATAAATGTGATTAAAGTCTTGATGCCAGGATGCTGGGTTTATATCAGATGTGTAACTAGTAGGTTGATGTAGATTTTTATCCTCTCTCTCGAGCACCAGCATTCCCATATAATGTAGCTCAAACAGAGGTTAAAAGACAACTTTTTGATGTCAGAATAGAAGTGCAAACTAGCCCAATGTGTCTGCATAGCCATTTCAGCGAAAGATTGCTTTTTTCATTTAAGTTGGTTAAAAAAAGGGTGGTGTCCTGAAATTTTCAGGTCGTTATTGACATAGTAGAAAAAAATGTCCTACTTTTTTTTTCATTGAATAGGTCCCATTAGTAAGAAACTCCAGGCTCTAAACTTGGTTTTATTGAAGCATGTGGTTATTATAGCAGCTTTTTTGCAGAGTCTTGCTGTTTATGACAAATGGAAAAACTAAGTGTTTTTGTGTGGCACTGGTTAGTCAAGTGTCCATATGTGACTGGTAGCGAGTTGTAGAGACCAGCAAATGTCCCGGTAACAGATTTTTTTGTGATAGATTTGTTTGTCCTTGTAATAGCTGCGTGGGATCTAGGAGGTTAACTTTGCAGTCAGAATATGTATTTGGTCTTTTTTGAGGTATATGAGATTGAAACTTCTTTTCAGCAGGTTGGCCATTTTTTAAGTGCTGCACACTAAGTCTTATAATTTATAAATTTGAAGAATGTTTTTCAAGTTGTATGTTTGAAACACAATGGAAATCTTATGCAAGATGTAAAAAGAAGACTCTTTCAGGAATGAGATTTTTCCATCTATTGGAGGATTTCTGACATTTTGGGAGCCAAAAATATCATTGGCCTAGCACTCCCCTGGACCCCATATTTTTTTACTCTCACCTCATCCCTGCTCTTCTCATGAAAACATTGGCTTGTCACCAGGTAAAATTTTGAGTATTATTTTTATCCCACCATGTGAAGTGATTTCAATAGTATTGCTTGTTTTTTTCTTCTACAGGAAGGCCGCCTGATCAAGTTCTGGTTCGTAGATACTGCGTCGTACCTAGATCGTGTAACCACAGCCTATGAATTTTTCAGGGATTTAGTTCAGCCGCATGATTTCCCCAGAGGTAAGGGATGCAGAAGTTCTCACTAAAGTATACTTTCATGTCAACTGAGAGATGGTTTAAACTTAGAGATAAAAAAAATTTAGATGCCTTTGATTGTAAGTAGAAAGTAACATAGTTATGTAATGCAGGTATTACAAACAAACCCAGAGAAGTGTGTGTGAGAGAGAGAGAGAGAGAGAGAGAGAGTGTTATCTGCTGATCTCAAAGGCCCATTTCACAAAAGTGGAAAGTTTTGAAAGACAGGTTATAGAGCATTTTGTGTCAAGGTAAATCTGTTTTTTTAGTGAGCACTCTAAAATGTAATACCTAAATCTTCATCCATAACTTAAGTTTAAGTCCATTTCATCTTCCAGATTATGTGGGTTTTATCAAGAAATGCATGAAACTGATGCAGAACCCCATGTATTCACAAGCTAGGAAAGTGGACATTGAGTTAAAGCCGCTGGACGAGGAAGAGGCACCAATGTCTCCAGGTAGGGCAAACTGTAGGGGGAGCCACTTTTGTGTTCACCCAGATAGAGGGAGCCACTGGTATAAACCCAGCTCTTGGAAAGGGATGCCATAGTAGTGCTTTACTCATTTATTCTTGCCATTAACATATCATTACAGCTTATTTTTAGAAGTCGAAAAGCTTACTAAGGTATTGGTCAACCCTGTGCTTATTAAATGTGAAATTGTTTTTTGTTTTTTATCCCTGTTGATATACACAGTATATTGTGGATATTTCTGAAATACTTCTTGTCCTTGACAGTTTAATGGATATTATTGATAATATTGAAAATAAATTCAAACTCATCCAGGACACACTTGTGGTAAATGATAACAAAATTCGGGCAATCTCTGAAAATTTTCCATAATGTCATATGCGATAGGAAAAAAGTTTTGTGCCTTCCTTAAACAATACAGCAGCACCTTCCCCATCAATGCTTTCTTTCATTTACTTATACAGACTGTAAGCTTCAGTTTCCACTTCATATCTTCAAACTCTCTTCTACTCTTTCTCTGCTTCACTGTGAACTCTAGGCGGAGAATTTCTAGTAGAAGTAGGACAAGGTGAGTGCGATGCTTTCATTACATTCCACGTTGTTATTATTTTTTCAGTTCTGTGTTGTATGGTGTTACACCCCTAGTAGTAAACCAGCTCAGTTGTGTTTAAATTAGGTGTGCTGAATAATTGCCAGCTGTTTTCTGAGGCTAAACATCACTTTTGAAAAAAATAGAAAAAATATATATATGAAAAAGATTACGAAGTTATAATGCACTTGTTGAAGATTGAATAATGTCACGCAAATATGTAGAATTATCATCAGTTCATTGTGGATAAAAGTAAGAGAAAAACTTATGATTGCAAGGAAAAAAAGGAAAGAAATGGGATGATTGCAGCTGGCAGAGCACACCTAGCACAATCAGGAGCACCACCTCACTGAGTTGGACTAAATCTCAGATGGAATGTTGTTTACGNGGAGGGGGGGAGGTGGAGGGGGGGGGGGGGTGCGTCCACTCCGCTTATCGCACAACGTAAATATTTTTATCGTGTAACAAAAACATAACAGGGATTGTTAATAAGCGCCTTTTTGTTGAACTAAAAAGAGACTTTGTAGGGCTGTTCTGAGTACGCCAGGTTTGTGTAGTAGATATACCAGTTCCAAGAACTGTGATGACGTAGCCAGTTACAACAACGTTATCTCTATGTAAACATTTGCCTAAGAAGAGATATCGCTACTGGGTACATTTCAACATTTGAAAATAAATTGATCATTGAAAATTTGATAGGGAGCCTCACCACACACGAGAGAATCACAGTTGACAGTGTGGTCTGTGAAAACTTGGTGACCAATACAACCGTTATTATTGTAAATGATAAAATTATGTCACAAATTATCTCCCCATTATATTTTCAATACGATGATGTACAGTCTTTTTTCTATTGCTAGCATACCGTTTCACAGCATTTTTTGCAGGTTTATTATTTCAGACAGAAGTATTTAAATTGCAAAAATTGAATCCCCTTTTGCCTCTGAAAAAGAAACGATTGCCAATAATACATTCATATCAAAACTGCACTTACATGTAACAGGCTACTTTCTTAGAAAGGTATCGGAACAGTTCTTCCACGTTTTCTCAGTAATTGTGTAGAAGTCCTAAAGTATGTAACGATAGAAAGCCTAGACTTAACTTTTAGATGACACTATTATGAGACTATTATCATTCGGTTGAAATATTCCATTTCAATCAAGCGGAGTTGATACATGTATGACCCAGAAGAAAATTTTCCGTTTTAACGTCATAGAAATAGAGTTATCCATTTGGCAAATTTATGCAAAGATATAATCAAGTCAAAATTGACCCTGAACATGCACTATAAACGTGGAATGTAAAAAAATTAATTCAATGTACAATGAATTAGAAACACTATGACCACAGATCTAACGTATTGAGCAAGAGCAACTTGACAGGGAGCCTCACAACACACGAGTGCATCACAGTTGACAGTTTGATCTGTGAAAAACTGGGTGACCAATACAACTGTTGTATTATTCTAAATTAGTCTTTGCCACAAAATCATCTAGCCAATGATGTCTTTTTTTCTATTACTGGTATATCATTTTTCTGCACGTTGCTGTTTTTTTTTCGAGAGCAACAAGTTTGCACTGTGATACATCTAGTTAAAAACATCGTTAACCACGCCAGTAATTTTTGCAGTGCATTTTTAATTAATTCAGCATTATCTAATGCTATATAATAACTTGACACTATTCTTTACTAGAGGGATCTTTAAATAAAAGCAGCCGCTACCGGCCAAATTTCGAACACCATATTTTTTGTCCTTTACTTATACTTTCGCTAGGGTTAATGAGGAGACATAAATGTCTATTTCATTAGATTCACATTTGTGCATTGTAATATAATGGATAAGTTAAAAATGTATCTTTTTAATATCCTGTCTGAATATCTCCACATTTATTTACTTTCCAGTGTATTTATTATTTTGTTAATTTTTTCACACACTAAGGGCTCATTCCTAACGAAACTATCATTTTACGTATATCGGTCAAACTCCACGGGGAATCTGGCTGAATGCATTCAGATTAACAAATTTAAAACACCCCTCCTCTTGTTTCCCAAATTCTCGATAATCATCAGCTTTTCTGTATTCTTCTCTACGCTGGAAAAGCAGTTCATAAATAAAATAAATTAAAGTACTTATTATTTCACAGGCCCAAGGGACCCGCCGCCAAGCTTTGGGACATTTTCCGTATCACTTCTCCGGACAAGGAAGAACTCTCAGAGAGCTGGTGCCTAGAGGTAACCAAGCGGGTCTGCAAGGTGATCGTATACTGGCTCCTCCTCTTCTTCATCCTCGGGTCGACCGTCATCCATAAAATCACGCTTATGATCTCGGTGGCCCAGTCGAGGACAGAAAGGTGGATAACTTGCGACGTTGAGCAGTATGGGAATGAGGTTGAGCAGTCTGGGAATACGACAAACTCTACAGTGGTTAACAACGGCACCTATTTGACGGATTGCAAAGTAGAAGAAGGGGTTAACAGAAGCACCATCGTCACGGATAGGGTTCTCTGTGGTGAGGTCTCCGTGAGATGGATATGGGGACTTGCAGTCACCATGTGTTTTCCCTATCTTCTAACTTTCATGCAGTGTCTATTCAAGGTTCTCTTCAAGAAAACGCTGTGGCCAAGTGTGGGGACTTTCTTTGCGGTAAGTAGACTTATTGGAATTTTAGTGCTACAGGGGATTATATCACATTCAATTTTGACTCTTTTAACAAATTGTTCTTCTAAAGCCCAACGGTAAGCTCCTACGGCTCGATAGTCTGGTAGATGGGAAAAAATTGAAATTTACCTCCAGCGCAGGATTCTAGGTGTCCACTTAATGGAATTTGCCTCAGGTGTTAATGTTTGATATTTTGCTTGCGAGCCCTTACCCTTTCGCAAGAGTATTACCAGTTTGTACAATATAATTCTTCTACATATGTAGGACATGCTGTACACAAAATTGAATCCCTAGATTTGCAAGTCATGTTGGCATGATTTTGAAAGTATTTTAATTTCTGAAACGTTGCGTGTTGCCTGTTTCTGGGTAATATAATTGTCTTTACTGCAACTGCCGCAACGTGAATCTCCACATGTGCTTACTCTGAATGTTGTTTGTGTGTTAAAGTCAAATTTTGCCTTTGTTAAAAACTTTTTTAGATTTTGGGTTGTCTCTTGCTATTTGTTATCATTTTGCCGCTCACTAGGTTTTTCAATTTATCGCTTGCCATCAGAATAGGAGTGTTGGTTTTATCATATGGAAACGTTTGGTACTCCTGGATCATGAGTGTTGACATAAGGGGTGATGTCTTCCCTATCCTTTGTTTTCCCCTTTTTTCTTGTTCTCCCAAGTTATTTTTGCCTTTTTATCCCGTCAAGGATAAATGAAATAGGATCATTTTGTTTTTCAAGGAATCCTTTCGTTTCATAATAGTCTAGTTTTCCGTAGGGTTTAGTCAGTGACTATCGCACATACATTTGTACCCTTCTCGCCATACAATATGTTTCGTTTTTTATGGGATGGGTGACAGGAATGAAAGTTTAGGTATTGGTGAGTGTCCGTCTTTTTATAGTGTTGGTTTAGAGTAGATATCTTTAGTTACTTTATTTTGTGACAACTTTTTAAAGATATCTAAAAGGGTAGTTCACGTTTAATGGTTTCCACTGTAAATTAAACTGATGGATACAATTAGTTGATGGAATTTTATGAGGTCGTTTTCTGGTTTAGACCAGAAGATGAAGCAGTCATCCAGATATCGCGTCCATTTTTGGATTAAGTTTATTTTAAGTGCATCTCTAAATATATTTCCTGTCTCTCTGTACAGCTTCTCTAAATATCTCACGACGATATTTGCATACGTAGGGACTGCCTTAGTTCCCATTGCTGTTCCTTTTATTTGTGTGTTTGTTTTCCCATCAAAATAGGTGTTTTCTTTTAGGATGATCTTTTGATGATCATAAGTCCGAAACTGAAATCATGAATAAGTAACTATTTATTTCAGTATATTAATGACTTTTTGTTTACGTACATCACAAACAGAACAAACACCCTTGCGCCTGTCACAGTTGAGGTACAAATTAACATTTAAAGTCATCCTGTGGAGAAAGAGAGTCAGCGGTAAAGCTATCTCTATGTGGAGATATATTAATCTATTAGCGCATTCAGAACTGATGATCTGAGGACTAACTGATCCGCCAACTCAATATGGCTGACTTACAAGCAGCGCCGCTTAATCTTCTGCTTTTAAATCAGTCGGCTATATTTAGTCTGCAGATCGGTTAGTCCGCAGATTAACTTGTTCTGAATGTCCTTGTTATGTAATGTTTTGTTGTTTTCCAGGTTCTTGTTGTGGAAACGTGTCACTCAGTTGGACTGTTCATCTTCGTCTTCCTCATCCTTCCCTTTCTTGACATCATTCAAGGTTTGCTCATCATGCACGGAGTGGCGCTTATACCCAGCCTTCTTCAGCTTATCTTGCGCCCACGTGCCAACGTCGAGAAGTACCGCCCTCTTCACATATTCTCAGACTCAGTAGCGATTCTAGTTCAGCTCTCAGCATTGTTTTTTGTCCCTACACTGGAGACAGTATCAACAAAAAAAGTGACAAAACCCAATGCGACCGATATAACAGTTTTCCATTATCTGACCCATAATATTCAGCATGAAGAATCTCTCATTACCCCGGAAATTAGAATGTGGCTCGTACCCCTTGCCCTGTTTCTCATTTCTTTATCGTGGTGGGAAAATTTTGTATGGGTTGACCGCAAGTCTAGCAAATTTAACACTCTCCCAGATCGTGGTTTCATCCATAAGGCTTTGGTAAAACACAAGAAAAAAATACGCCAAGCGAAGAACAAAATTTACTTTTTTATAAGTGTGTGGAAGATAGTTATGACCCCTCTACTAATGCTGGCACTGCCCGTTGGAGCAGAACGCTTTAATATGACGGACCTGTTCCAATTGGATTTCCAACGATGTAAGGGAATTAACAACCAGACCTACGAAGGAAAACCTTATCCTTCTTCAGCCACCTGGGAAGCAGGTATTGCCATGCTGATACAGGTGGGTAACAAATCAGTCCAACTGTGAACCATACAGTCAAAACGTTCACATTAATTAAAATTGTTGATATATCCTCCGGAATTAAGTTCCGAAATCTTGTTCACTATATTATGTTACATGCACCTGTAAAATGAATCAAAGGGAACCCAGGTCTTAACTGCTTTCCAGATACTCCCTCCTTAAGTATGTTATCAGGATAATACTTGGAGAAAAAAAAAGAAATAAAAAAAAAACATCTTCTAACTATAGAGCTATTGTTCAAATAGTATTCTTATAGAAACCAGTTTCTTGTTTATATTGTACGGAAGCGTACAAGTGCCACAACACACAACAAAAACACTCGACACACAACACAATCGCAACACAACACATTAACTTCTCGACACAACACCAAAGAAAATCGCGACACAACACATTAACTTCTCGACACCAAAGAAAGTCGCAACACAACACAATTAACTTCTCGACACAACGGAAATAGGTGGCGCTATCGGCGCGGACGTCTTGGAAAAGCCGCGAAAACCCACAGAACGAAAGCGCACAGAGAAAAACTCTCGGACATACAACTGCATGTTATGCATTGTATTTCCACACGTAAATCATTTGTAAAGTTCAAAAATCAATTTCAACCGTCCAATTTTAACAAACCATCTTGAATCTCTACAAAAGCCAGATAGACAACGATTCTAAGCAACCAAGGTAAGCATACATGTATTTTCTTTTCTAGTTTAATTTTACTGGTATATTTCTTATCAAAAAGATTGAAATCGGTCTTTGTTCTGAGAATACCACATGGTCCTTGTTATAATTAACAAATCTTAATGCTCTGTAATTTTTAAAGTGATTTCTTCTTTCTTTGCACGTTGCTAATAACAAAAATTAGTAAATATTAGTAATTGGCATTGTTTAAAATTACGAGGACTTGGTTAAGTGTAACAGGTTAATGTCCTGCTGCACTGACAGTATTTAATGTTTTTATGCCATTATTAATATATTAAATATATAGAGAACAGCCCTTGAGATTACATGCTTACTAGTACAAGCATGAGGAGCAAATTAAGTTTCAAGTGTTATGCATTTACTTTACTAATTTATTTTACATACATTGCATTGATTATCAAATATTTATGTTGCATTTACAATATTGGAATTTCAAAATATGTGAGCACAGTAACAAGTTTAGTTTTATTCAGTTTAATTTGGAAATGTCAAATTGGGTATTGGGTATATTGTTACTGTCTATAAGTAAAGAAAATTTTCTAAAATTTCATAATTATCCACTAATATTTTCCGTTGAACCCGCACTGATTGTCCCCAGCTATGATATATCCCCTGGCTTCATTACTCTCAACATCAATACCCCCCTCCCCACACACACACACACATACACACACGCGCTCAGCATAGAACATTCACAGCAAATGATCTGATAATAAAACTTCTCTGTAATACAATGTTTTCAAAAGTGCTCTTTTCTTGGAACTAAAAGTGACATATTATTATAAATGCCTTGAGAAATAAGGAAACAATCACTGAACCATATGGAACTTCAAAAAACATGTACAGCTTTTACAACAGTTCTTCTTTATGATTTTCAAAGACTATACACATAACTAAGGAGGGGGGGGGGCAGGGGCGGATTTAGGATGTCTTCTGGGTCTTCCAGAAGACGGTCAGATTTTCAAGTTTACATTGACGGGTATCTATTTTTTTCTGTCAAAGGACGGTCAAAAATAGAGGATGGATCAACAAAGACAATTCGGAAGACAGTCAGAAAATAACTCTGGATCTGTCCCTGGGGGGGAGGGTTGGTGCATGGGAGTAACAATACAAGGTAGTATAGAAATGTAATGACTAAAACACAAAATACGTCTTCAACAGATTGACTTAATAGTCAATTAAATAGTTGGAAATAACCATGAAGGTGCAGTCGATTCAGAACAACATATACTGGTACAAACTGCTGTATTGTTATTATTGCCTATATGTATTAAAATCCATGAATGAAGTTTTTAGAGGATTGCGCTTTCTTATAATTAGCATTTATAGCTAGAATTTGTGATGCAAATTTTATTTTGAAATGTTCAACATTTTTAAGTTTATATTTCAGATAACAAGTGGGCATATGCCATGGTTCTCTTGATATTGACATTACTGTGGCAAAGTTTCCAAGGGGCAAATGGATTACCATCATTGCCACTCATTGAGTTTAGGTCAGTATGCACAAATGGCCACCTTCTATGACAATGTAGACACCAATTCTAGACAGGGCCTAGCACTGACCAGGTTGTGCAGCATGAATCTGAAACACAAATAGTACTAGTACACTAATCTTACTTATACAAAATTGGTTATTTTCCTTTGTAAATGTTGTAAATTTGGTGTAAACTTTGTGAGTGTAAGTTTCTCTTACAGCTAATTCAGATTTAAAGTGCTTGAAGGAATATTCTCAATGCTCTAAGTTTACATTTAATTTTAGATCTGAACAAGAAGCAATCGAAGCTTACTTCAGCCAAGGCTTCCAATACAAAGCTATTGTTATTTTTCTTGGGTTGTACCATGGGATTCATTTGAGCCTAAGGACCCTTAAACGGCGGATCAGGTACTTGTACAATTAAAGATGATCAAGAAATTTGATAATAAATTGACTATGTGGGCAGTAATTGTTACCAACCTTTTCCTTTTTCATTTACAAATCTCATTAAGAGGCAAATATTTCCAAGTGAAGTACTAGTAATGAGACAGTACTTAAAACAAACCTACTTCTAAGTCTTTGTACTTGTGACAGTTCTTTCTAAAGTCTGTAATTTGCATACATGAAACAGTAAGAAATTAGCTGAAAAGCAGATTAAATTGTATATAAGTTTAAGATAGACTGATATCATATTCAGATTTGCAAAATATAAGTAGGTTGATAAAATGTGTTAAAGGTCTACCTGCATTTTAGCATGCAGCCAAAATCGGTGAGCCATTTTTCATTGCATATTCCCCTTTTTATAAATTTCACCAGCTAAAATTAGACTGGACAACCAAAACATATTTTAGCAGTCATATGAGTTAATGAAGAGTATTCAGCGAGATTAAATTTTGTGCAAGTTTAAAACTGTATATCTTTATCAGGTCTTATGGGTTATCAAGACGAGGTTTTGCAAGCCAGTCACCTCTTCACTTTGTCTATCAAGCTATAAGAAGAGAATTGGAAGGAACAGGTATCATAATTAGACCTCATTCATATTAATGGTCATTTATGGCCATAAATGGTCATAAATGGTCATCTGGTGTGCTATTGCACATACATCACATATATCACTATCATACATGTACATATTTTTTGTAGGGGAGGGGCGCTATACAGGAGGTTCTTTTTTCTGAAAAAGTGGACCTTTTACCATATAACCCCTATGTACCTAGGTCAAATTTTACCCAGAGTGGACCTTTTTCCAGCAAAAAGGGGGTTCTTTCAAACCCCCCGAAACCCCGCTGGCTACGGGCCTGCTATGTATATTTAGTCAATATAATACAGCGGTTGTTGAGCTCTATTAACTAGACCCACATTATTTTGGGGCAATTTTTTATTGCATCACATTTAGCTGCTCAGTATATAGTTTTTTTTTTTACTATAGTCGTCTGTCATGAAACTTTTCTTTTCTTTTACATGTACAATGTGCAGTGAGATTAAGGTCTGTTTAATCCTTTATATTAATAACGAATTGTAACAATTTACAAATTTTGTCTAACATTTTTTTTTATTTTTAAATTAAAATTGCTAGGTAGACTTGGAGGATATAGATCCATGTGGCAAAGGCTGATTAGGAAATACCATCTTAGAGTTACTCAAGAAATGGTGAGATTATTATTGCGTCAGATTGACCCCATTAGTGTAGAAAACCGACGCTTGAGTCGCTTACAAAGAAGAACCTACATCAGTCAAGGGCCAAACCACTGCTGGCATGTAGACGGCTATGATAAACTGAAAATATATGGTTTTGAAATTAATGGTTGCATCGATGGTTTCTCTAGGAGAATAATGTGGTTGGAATGTAACCACACAAATCACAAGAGTTCTATAATATGTAAGTATTTTTTAGACACAGTGAGACAAATGGGTATGATATGCCCTAAGATTGTGAGGACAGATTGTGGCACTGAAAATTCATTGTTGGCCCCAGTTCAGTGTTCCTTGACAAACAGCTCACACGGTCATAGATATGGAACATCGCCAAGCAATCAACGGATTGAGCAGTGGTGGTCTTTTCTCAGAAGAAACCGTTCAACATATTGGATTAACCTTTTTGAAGATCTTACTGAGGAGGGTCACTTTACTGTTGGCAACAGTTTACAAATAGAATGTTTGAGATTTTGTTTTATGGATCTGTTGAGGAAAGATCTCCAAGAAGCAGCAGTGTTTTGGAATACACACAGAATTAGACCAAGCCGATATGCTTCTTGTCCAGCAGGGATCCCAGATGAGTTGTACTTTTTGCCACCAAATGGTAGGGACTGTAAGGTGGATGTAAGTCACCAGGACTGGGACATGTTCTACAATTTTACAGAGGCTAACTCAGTGTGCCAGGATGGGGAGCTAGAAGAGTTTTTGCAGTTTCTTATGGAAACCTACAACCTTATATACCCTGAAAATGTTGACGATGCATTGGAGTTATACTTAAGACTTAAAGCATTGACTTGTGATTAATATAGAGCAAAACAATCTAACGATAAGCTGTTTCAAGGGGGATAAATGCTGAATAAAATAGTACATTTAGTAAGTAGATACATGTAGTCCTGACATTTTTCTCTTTTACATAATACACTCAAACTGATATACATTTGAAGGCACTGACCATGTTGAATGACTACTCAGTCAATTACATATGTAAATATGGTATCTTGTCTTTCTTCCCAAATGTCCTTGAATGATGTTGCCCATATGCTGAGCTTTCAGGTTTAACTGTATATTCAGGGGTCCTTCCAATGCACAGTTAATGTAATATCATTTGAGTTGGGACTTCTTTCCTGCATGGTCTCATTTTCCATCCATAATCGGGGCGCATATGAGGCAGAATTTTGCATAAAATTAGCACATTAGTCTGTGTATGGAGTTTTGTATGGAGTTGGGGTCTTCTTGCCCACTTACATGTATAGGGGCACAGGTAATCAAAGGACTACAATAAAACTGTTTAAAATTCCTTGCCTGCCTTTATTTTGTAGAATTTTATTTTTTACAATTATGTACAGTTTTTTTATTTAATGTTTCCATGATATTACATAACGTTTAAACCCTGTCATTGAATGATAATCTTTTAAAGCTTTTTCATTATCATTTATTAAAAATGATATGACATCTTACTTTTTCTATTTAGATATGTCCTTAGTGTGTATTTATTGAGTGTTAGGCCACATTTATGTCCTGCCAAGCTGTCTTGCTGCTAAAATCTCAATAATGCTAATCTGCTTAATAAACAAACAATACTCCTTACAGATTGTCTGTAACACCTTTTCAAGTGTGTATTATATACTTTGCAGAGCCATGCAGTTTCTCTCATCTATCTTCTTTATAATTGTATTGTTCTACATTATTTTTTCCACCATTGGCATGTTTTAAAAGGTCTAAAAAAATAAATGGTCTTTACATTTCCAAAACAAATGTTATATTATTTGTATACGCTACAGTTGCACACCAAACATAAAAATGTTTAAATCCATAGTTAAAACTACCAAACATCATTTAAGCAAGCAAGCACATGTACATCTGTGAAGTTGCCTTACAGCTGCTTATGTGATGAAAACAAAACTGTCTTGCTATTGCAGCCCATAGGATCTTTGAATATATCCGTGCACATAATAATATACTATTAGCTAGAGTGCAAATTCTACTATCAGCTAGTCTTCAAATTCCATGGTAGAATTTCTTTACATAACAAATCCATACTGTTCGTATTGTTGCTAAGAAATTGAGAATTAAGCCAATTCCCTCAGTCACAGATCTCACCAGCAATCCTCCCAGGTCCTCTTCACCTTTAGGCAGGTGTAAATATAGCCCACAAGTTGATGCCCAAGGGAACCTACAACGTTCACTAGGTGAGAAGATAATTACAGTGCTGTGTATAAACAATATGTTGTATAATCTGCACTTATGAAATGGAGAACCCCATTCCTTCTTGGATTGCTGTGACAAGTAGATCTCCCAGGTCATCTCCCGTGGGCAGGTGTAAATACAGGCCACATGTTGATGCCCAGGGGAACCGACACCTTTCACTGGGGATGAAGAACCCAACCTCTAACTTTTTTTCGAAACCACCTGGTGGGATTTCTTCTGCTCCGGTTATGAAGCCCAAAACTTTATGAAGTGTGACCTGTGACCTTCCACCTGGAATGAAGAGTCTTATTATTATTATATGACTAAACATATCACTATAAATGAAACTATACAAGTCATAATGTAGCCCTGGATTTGGTATTTGACTGCCTTCCCACAACCCTGTTCAACTAGCTGGGTCAATCTATCTTCACGGGGCCTCTCGTCAGATTGCTTTCAATTTAAGCAGTTTAATGGTCTGCAGGAGAGCTAATTACCCACTAGTAGCTTCAGTAGGCGCCCCAGACATTTAAGCTGCTCAAACTGAATGCAATCTAGCAAAGACCCCATAGAGATGGATCAATCCACCTAGACCTATAGGGTTGTGGGGTCACTCCCTTAGACACTATACATTCCTTTATAGACATTAATTTGTAATCAAACATTTTGACAACTGTTTTTTTCCCTCTCTTTAGCCATTACTTACTCTCACAGTCCTGTAGGAATCTTTCCCACAGCAGTACTGTATCTTCTTCAACATCTTTGACAGCACTATTGTCACTGTGGACATAGGACATGTTATCTTTAAACCACATCCTTGTGACAGCAGAGGTACTGTGCACAAACAACCTCTGTAAAGAGGAAGGGTATTTGTGCATCAGCACCCCCAACTGCCCTATACTATTCAGTCCACCCAAAAACTCATCCGCTTCTGTTTTACTCCTGAAGAACAAAAAAAAGTCATAATGATAATATAAAAAGATTTTAGAAATATAAAAGAATTATTTTGTTTAATTCTATATTATCAATTTTCTTTTTGCACTTTTAAGGATTTCACATAGAGGAATTCATAAGGGGAGAAAAAACTAATTGCAAACAAATTTAGTCTGCAACTCTCCTGCAATCAACAGTTTCTAGGGTTTTTACTCTTTTCAAATCCTCAATAAAAATTGCCCTCAGACAATTAGGAAATGATGGTTAGAAAAAAATTGTTTTTAGTAAAGACCCCATATATTACTATGTTATAAAAAATTAGTTAGAAATGGACATATTATACTTAAAGCCTTCTATTTGTTAAGGAGCTGCTGCTTGGATATAGTATCCTGACTGTGACATACCCAAGTCACAAGACAGCGAATGGCACTGGCCACAATTTAACAATTACGCATCAAATCAATCACAATTACATTCCTTTAGAGTGGTAGATCAAAGATAACATTGTAAACTGTTCCTTATTTGCTGCCACATCAGTAAAGCACTGCCGCTGATAAATACCTCAAACATCAATCCCCCTTGCTTTGTGTAACAAATTGCAAACGAAGTGCAATTTGACATGTCTATATACATCTATAAACATAATTACATTGGGTAATAGAAGTATTTTTAAAAATCATTTTTAAGTGACAAGTAATCAATGATTGTTTCCTGACTAGGGTTCAAATTTATATATCTTACTTGTAATATACTATGTTCAGCAGAAGCTGAAATATCATTGTTTCCTTCTCCTCGAAAGAAAACTTAAAAATCCCCTGGTCACATATCCAATCCATTTCAGCTGCCACCACTGCGTCAAATTCTGTTTTATCACTGCAATATATCTGCAATTAGCATATGTACATTTACTTTAATTTTGAAGTGGATACTATACTGCTATTTAAATGATTCATTCTGTTGATAAATTAATTAATGTAGAACCATTAGATGTGTTGGGAAAAGAGGTTGTGTAAGAGGTAAAGAAAAAAGAAACATTTTTTTTTTCATTTGTAATTGATAATTACAAATAAAGAAGTGCTTTGAACTTATTTTACTTGTACAGTTATTACCTTGTTGAGCTTATCTTTCTCCTCTGGCAAAAGTAATCCTATATACTTAGGAATGTCCTCCCTCTTTGGCTCCCTCCCCACCATCTTTTCAAAGAGCAGGGGGTGGAGCATGGGGAACCCAGGTCCACCATGGAGAATGCTCCAGGCAACCAGCTGCCCTGATTTATGGTGGCTTCCTGCCTCCAATTTAGTGACATTATGTCTAAAGACAAGGGCCTCTGGAGGGCCTTCAAATATATCCAGAGATGAAATTTCTTTCATAAGTAGTCTGAAAATTGCAAAATATTTGCCATAACAGATACCTGTGTAGGAAACCCATTTTTAAATGCATTGATACATAAAATTTAAAGCATGTTTTCATCACACATAATACAAGTTAAAACAATTCATGAGTAAATATGCATAAACAGACCATAATATACAGCATTAACCTAGGTAAATAAATGGTTTTCATCAATCAATACCAATCAATCAATATATATATATATACCTAAAACACTCTCTTCGTGGCCCACCATCATCTAGGGCTTTCTCTCCGGAAAATTCCACTTTGGGAATTTTAAAAAAAGAAAATCCTTCTCTCTTGGTGGCAGATAGGACACTGTTTAAAAGTTTCCTCCTCCGCACAATCAGTTCCTCATCTTCTGTCTTGGCATTTTGTTCTATAATTCAAAATTTAAATCTCTTGTCTAAATATACTGTATGCATATGTCAACCACACATCTGTATGTCTACACAATCACATAATTTAAACCCTAAAACACCTTGTAATTGTTGTGTATGTTACTAGTACAGTGTACATGTATATGGCATTGTAATGCCAGGGTATAGTTTTTTTACTTTAAAAAGTTTTGAATTGACTATTTTACAGCAATTTTGGATGAAAAGGGTATATTGCACAGCTACTGAAAGAAGTAACATAGAGTAAAAAAGGATCTGTATTCTGTTTTACCTTGCCAAGCAATGACAAGAGCTGTGAGATCCATTTCTTGCTCAGGACTGGCATTTGTATCTTGGGTTTCCACATTTGTGGACCACACCTCTTCTGGGTAATCATCTGGATCATCTTGTAATGCCTCAACATAAGTCTCATATGATGACTGTTCAGTCCTGCAACATTGATTGAGGCACACAAAATTAATTGGTTCATAAACAGAGATGTCTGGAAACAAAATCTTGATTTGGTTCACTTCTTTGAACTGGTTAATACCCTAGGCTCTAGATCTTGAACATACAAAGCCAGTAAAAATAGTCTTGAAGTTTGCTAAGAGATAATAATAAATTTCATCTTTTACCTGACACTGCAAGGTATGATACAAATCTGCTTCATGTTACATGTACAATCATCCAGAGATAATACACACATCTTTAAAAAGTTTGCAATAAAGGCTGCAACATCGGGCAGCTTGTACCAGCTATTTCATAGTTTCTAACTCCAAACAAATATGAGGTTCAAGATGTATTGTATTTCTTTGTAACATTGTTCTAGTTCTAAGTGTATTAATAATCACATCAAACCTAGTGCTGGAGGCATCAACCCTGAAGCTCACAGTTGGAGTTCCTGCATCAACTCTACAGCCAACTTCTTTAGTGTGTATCCATTCCTACAAAATTAATGCCAATATAAAGTGATGCTCTAAACTACAGCAAAAAGATGTATACATATACAAGGGAGGTAGGGTATGTTGAAAAATTATTACTAAATATATTTAAACACATGTTTGATTACTACCAACTCTCATAACAGCATGAAGTCTTCATTAACATATTGTGTACAGTATAATGTTTTTGTTAAACAGAGATGCTCTTTGTTAAAAAGAGATAGAGGGGCAAACCACAAGTACAACTATAACACCAAAAAAGCATAAAACACAAAATAACAAGCCAATATGAAAGCTTAGCGTGTGTCAAATATTTCAGCCTCAAGTTAAATACAATAAGCTGCAATCATTAATGAGGTAGGGTTTATAAAGATTGAATACCAACTTCTAGTATCTATATAGAGGTGCGCTGGACAGAATCATATGTATGTTGTTTTAAGTATTAATTTAATACTACAAGTCTTAAGGATGACATGTTTACTGGTCTTTATGCAAAGAATGTGTATATTAATTTAAAGAGGAAATAAACTGAAAGAGTTTTTGTGATCTAAACTGTGTGAATTATACTGTCCAGAAATCTCAAAATCAAGACCGAGGAAAATACCTCCAGAATACCCTTACAGAATACAGAGTAGTTCTTTAGCCCATACAAATGCTATCATGTGTTACATGTTACTTATTAGAGCAATGGGCCCTCCCTTATTTAGGCATGTGCAAGGGTTGATCAAAAGTCCTAGCATAGTAGATGAAAAAAGAGACTATTTTGATTTAACTATTTTCACTCTATATTCTTCCTTAACCCAAATTACTCTGGGATCTCTCAGAGAGCATTCACATTGAGAAGAGCCGAGGTATAGTAAGGCCGAGACCTAAATATGGTGGACCTACATAAAAGGAAGACCCTGTAATCCTTTCATGGTCTCTCCTCTCCCATGCGTCGTCCCCGCGGGGGTACAGTTTGGGGAATGGAACAGAGATTTAATGAGTGTACCCCCACAGCTAACAATGAAAACATTTTTTAGTCTTGCATACAGCACATACATGTAGTCCACTTATGAATTTCTGTACAGCATAGATTAGGACTACCGGTGTACCATGATATTCTGACTCCCCAGTCAGATTTTCATTATGAAAATGTGACTCCCCCTATGAAATTTTGACTCCCCCCCCCCAAATAAAACATTCATTAATCTCATTTTATTTCAGTAAATGACTATGACCTTGTAGTATGCATAATGGAGGATACATTGGCACTTTTTCTTTGGGGAGACAATGGGCAGTTAAGTGCACATTTTTAACTTTCTTATTTTTTCATGAAAATTTTCACCTGTAAACTACAAAAAAAAGGCCAATGTATCCTCCATTTTACATACTAAAAGATCACAGTCATATACTCCAAATAAAATAAGATTTATGGGGGGGTGAGGGGGTCAAATTTTGATGGGAGAGTCAGATTTTCATTATGTGCACATTTTTAATTTTCTTATTTTATTATAAAAGTTTTCACCTGCAAACTACAAAAAAAGTGCCTATGTATATGTATCCTCCATTTTACATACTACAAGATCACAGTCATATACTCAAAATAAAAACAGATTTATGAAGTTTTGTGGAGGGGGAGTCAAATTTTCATTGGGGGAGTCAGATTTTCATGTTACACCAGTACATGCTGAACACCAAACATGATGTCATATATATATATCTGTATTACTAGCTTCACTCCATTAGACTTTAAAGTCTATAACCTGATCAATGATGTTTCAATCCAAACAAGTGTGTGTGTGTGTGTGTGTGTGTGTGTGCGCGTGCGCGTGTGTGTAAAGGCCAAAAAACAAAAATGCCCTATTGCAAACCTACTATGCTTGTGGGTTAGCCTACAATGCCAAGTAATTCTCCTTTCTGTGCTCCAATAACATTATACAAAATTTTTAGATGTAACCCCATCCCCATAACATAACAGTTTTGTGAACAAACAGTAAACAAAAGATATAGCAAGTGACAATGAAACTAAGCAAGGGAAAGTGCATTTATTATGGTGAAGTGCCATTTTATCAATTAATAATACGTGGTAAAGCAGAATATGCAAGGAAAAGTCAAGAAGAGAGAAAAAAAAAAAACACTACCAATCTCTGCAACTATCCTCACATACATTACCTATATTTGCTAGATGTATCTTAGCTGCTGAGTACTTCATCATGTGCATTAATCAATAATATATTTCAATGGATTAACTTCTTGAGAAAAAGGATATAAGGATGTACAGTCATAATAAATGCCCACAACATCATTACATATATTAATATTGGCAAAAAACTGGGATACATAATACAATGAAAAGAATGACTACGTCAGATATGTACCAGCTGTAATAGGGATCTGAAATTTCTCCTACTTAAAAGGACATGTTTTATACCAAAATAGTTTAAATTTTAAAGTATTACCTCTAAATCGGACTCTTCATCACTTGTTAATATCTCTACATGTGCTTCTTCTTTTTCTGAAATTATTAAAAGGTTAATTAAGAATAAAATATAGTTATAAATTAATTTTAAATGTAGTCCACAAAATATTAAATTTGCCTCTACACAAATATATATTGATACTAAAAATTAACCATAATGTAGCACTAATGACCAATTAGGAGCTATATTGGATGCATTGGACCTACACTATCCTTTTAGGATACAAAAGAAAAAGGTTAATTTTCTCATATATTTTTTTTCATCAAAAAAGGTCAATAACATGGGACAAGCTTGGCCAGATATGCTTATTGAGGATTACATTAGGGTTGGTAGAGCTACATTTTGCCACCGTAGCACATTTTGCAATCTAAGAAAAACATGCAATGCAAATGTATGATTTGAGGAACGATGGAAATAAGTGTTGGGTGGAGATGATGTAACTCTGACACTGGATGCCTATCAGAATTAATTATGCCCCATAATACTGAACAGCTTTATTGTGCAGCTGTGAAGAACTACATGTATTCAACCTGCTTGGGTCCATTGGGCCCCCATTTTCCTGATAAGGGTTAAACCAATACTACCTAGGTGCTCCCTAGCACAAATGTATAGAACAAGCCTCTGCCAGTCCTTTTGAATTTGCTCCTTATATCCCCTGATGGTGAACTTGGCAGGGGGGTTTCCTTCAGGGAGGTGTTCCACCACCTTGCCACTGTCATAAGTCAGACAGTATCCTCCCTCTTCCATTTCATGTCCATTGTGGGCTCTGTGTTTGGCCAAACAGGCCTGCAAAGTCTCCTCTGCAGTCCAGCTTGGCCTTACAGTCACTTTCAGGGTCTTCCCCCTAAAAGGCTTTAAACAGCCGTTTTTAGGTATGAGAATTCCCACTCTGATCTGAAATCACATGTGTGAAAAAGTAACATTATTCTTTTTTATTCTTTGGATTAAATTATCACTTGATTAGGCTTTCTTTTAGATAATAATCATGATTGTGCATAACACAAAAAACTGATTTTTTTATCACCACATTCTGTTTAAACCTTCAGATAGACAAATATAATATAATATGGAAACACCACCCACAAACCCTTCAATAGAAGACTTAACTCCACATAATATTGTATTTTACACAATACTAAAATAACTGATAGAGATTATCAGTTTTGTGGTAGCTGGGGTAATGCTAGCAATTTTTTTCGCTTAGCCAAATCATCACTTTTTTGTCAATTTGTTGTCCGAATGGTATAAAATGAGTCAAATCTAGCCGTTTATGTTTAGACAGTTTAAGCCAGTTTTAGCATTTAGCTAAATTGGCAAGTGTTAGCACTATTCCAGGGTAGGTTTGGTGGAAAATTGCTTAGCTGAAATGTATCGATAGTAGCATTAGATCTAATTTCATGGAAGGTGTCCCATAAACCACTACATATTTGGTTGGATTAAAATGTTTTGATAAAAGAACATTTCAGGGAGATTTCATAGTGATTGGATTAGTCGGTATTGTATTTAGGCAGTCATGCTTCTCATTTGTGATATTAAGTAGTAATCATGGACTTAGAAACATAAACAAATTTTCTCACCCAGTTTTTTGTCTAGTACCTGAATAGATGGTAGTGTCAGATTAAATTCCAGATAACCAATTATTGTGTGGTATATAAGATCCCCTAAAGAAGACTGGTTTAATTTTTTCAAAAAGTACCGAGACCTCAAGATTTTTTACCCTCCTTAATTCATTACTTACATTCACTTCATTGTCCTTCATTGAAAATCTTGATTTCTTGTTTGTAAAAAAAGAGTTCCTTTCAGTGTTCCTCTTTTCTCTCATTTTTTTGAATGTTTGGAGCAGCTGGGGTAGGTCTGAAATATAAGCAAATTTAGAATACATTTCAACAATCAACACCAGCCACTATGTTTAAAGGAAGGCACCAAATTAGGTGAAAGTGCTTTAATTCAATAAACCCAAATACTCAATCTACATGTATGTAATTTGACCCTGGCTAACTTACGATTTGCTGCCTTTATACTGATTATAAAGATGCAGTCAGGGAATTATTTTCTTGAAAAAATTCTTATTTCTGTCTTAATCGCAATTAAGCTGCAATAACCCTAAACTTAATTATTCTGAGGAAAATTTCTAATTCCAGGGTTATTATAAAAACTGAAAGTTAAAAAGATATGGCTGCCACAGACAACTGTAAGTTTAAATGTTACGTCTGCTTATTATATGCAGCACTGAAGGAAGCTAAAATTTTTGAAAGGCTAAAATAGCGAAATAAATTGTAATGTAATTTGGTTTATGTGTATTTTTCTGACCCTAGCACAGAGATTTTTCTCAACCTATTGGTTAGAAGGGAATATATTATCCCGAGAAGACAAAAGAGTTGTACGCTTTTTAATAATAATAATAATAATAATACTCTTTATTTATTATAGTTTGTTTTATTAAGTTGCTACTTACCTTCCTTTTTCGGCTCAAGGAAACCTGCACTTGAACTTGAACTGAGGCCACTCACACCAGCAATGGCTGCACTTGCCACATCTACAATAACATTACCATATTATTAATTAATATATTATTTGATATATTGTTGTTTCAATTTTAAAAAATTGTGGAATGATGTAATGAAAATGAAAAGGAGATAACATTATTATTTAATCAATTAAGAATGACATTCTTATATTGCACCCAGTTTTGTCTGCATAACAAATAAAGACAGACTGAAAACAAGTCCATCTAATATAGATTTGTGAGGCCAATATATTATAAATTAATCTTAATCATATGCACTTAGCTATATGCTAGATAATATAAGTTATATTTAATGTTTTTCGCCTTTATTATTCAAAATAATATTAATCAAAATATTCAATATTTTGAAAACTATATAAAAAAATTTTTAATGTCCTTTCCAAACACTATTTAACACTTTTTCTGGATTAAAAGTGTTCATAAAATAATAATTAATTATCAAACCTAAAATCCATTTGGGACTCTTGTGTCTGGTTTCGGAAATTATGCATTTATGAGCCGAACAAATACCACAGAATGGCTATTACCAGGTTATTAGCAGTCTCTTGGAAATCCCTTGTGATTTTAATCCAAACTTTTGATTGACAAACCAAGTTAAGTACCTCACCAAGAACAAAAATGGATCCCTTTCATTTACACAGTCAAAATTCATCTGTATTGGAATAATCTTGTAATTTATAGGCATGAAAAGAGATGTAAATTCTGCATTAAGATGTCACCTTATAACCATAAAAGTCTGAGTCCAGATAGGTAGAACATGTTAGATAGGTAGAATATTCTTTAATTTCCTAAATTAATGATATCCATAACCTACCTCTGTTAGAGTTTTCAATTTGTCTGCTGGACCAATCTGGCAGTGATTTGCCGCAAAATGTGCAGCATAAAAAATTTTCAAATCCACAGGGCAATTCCTTGCCACAATAGGGGCAGTACATGATATCACACTGAAATAAAGTATATAATTTTTTTTTAGAATTCATAGAAATTGCCCTAAAAGACTTGCACCACATTCTGAATCTGTAGACATGGGGAAACTGCGGGTCTAACTGGTGATGACCACCTGAAAAGCCAAAAGATCGACAAGAACTTTGATAATGCAGGTCCTCTGGACCAGCAAGGTTTATGTGTGGAAACACGTACAATGCATAAAAAAATGAATCATACATTGTAGAGTTTGCGTGCATTTGTCGAAATGATGACATAACTAGATGATATGTAATTAGATGATGGAACCTTTATTTACTGTTAGGTAGTACCAGGATAGCAGAGTATTTTAATACCAAATTACTGTGAATCTGAAATAATAAAATAAATTAACAAAAATCAAAGAAAAAAATAAAAGGTCTCACCAATATTCTGACCTTGTTACATTGTCTTAAACTAACATGTCTTGACTGTACTCAGACTGACAGGGGAATATTATATTTGACAATTTGTACACTGCTAATTAATTAAACTGAATCATTTAACAGACTATGAATGTAGTGACATAGAAATATAAAAAAAAAAATAAGAAATTAATTCTAATGTAGTATTTGTAACATAAAGAATGGACTATTAATAACATGTCTCTAATTTAAATAAACCAGCGAATACATTGTACAGTTTAACACTCACAATTTTGGCTCCTTTTGCCCTTGTGCACGTAATCTCAAGTTGTCCTATAAGAAATATATATGTTCTTTAGCAAACAGACATTTAATTCTACTAACAATAATTTTCAATCAATAAAAAAAACCCCGAATATGACACTACTTAAAACCTGATAAACTAATTAAAACTGCCTTTTTACTAACTTTTTATAAAATGCTGTGACAAGTAGTAATTACAGGACTGTAGCCAGCAATTTCAAAATGGGGGTCCTTTTTCTGAATAAGTTAACTTTTTGTACCTAGATCAAATTTTACCCAGAGTGGACCTTTTACCAGCAAAAAGGGTGGTTTTTTTTAACACCCCCCCCCCCCGGCTACGGGCCTGAATAAAAAAATATTTTGATGTTAATCACGTGCACTTTATATGAAGAAAATCGGGTAGAAATGTACATAACATTTATCTGTAGAAGCCAGTTTAGTTTAAACCATGTGGCATGCTCAGAGAACAAAGCACTGAGGGTGAAACAAGCTTCTATCAATAAAATATACCTTTAAAATTGCATTAAAATGTAAAATATTTTTACCTTGGTTTCTTGGTGTCCTTGCCTATACAATTTGCATAAATATAAACGTAGATGATCTGTTTGATTGTAGAATTTTTGGATTTTTTCTCAAATGGGTGGAACTGCTTCTACTCACGAAATTGCGTATCTTTGACAATTGATTGATTTATGACCATTTGCACTTAAAGTGGGTTAAGCACTACAGCTCATGATCAGCTGCTGGACATGTGATGCCTGGACTTGATAGCCTCTGCTTGTAGCTAAGGATAACAGACTAAATTAAATCATTCTAACATTATCAAAAAAGTTACATTTTACGGAGTTGCTTGAGAAATGATTTATGTGTGAAAATACAATTCATAAAAATGCAGTTGATTTTCTACTTTCGTTCTGTGGGTTTTCGCGGCTTTTCCAAGACGTCCGCGCCGATAGCGCCACCTATTTCCGTTGTGTCGNTATATAACAGACTAAATTAAATCATTCTAACATTATCAAAAAAGTTACATTTTACGGAGTTGCTTGAGAAATGATTTATGTGTGAAAATACAATTCATAAAAATGCAGTTGATTTTCTACTTTCGTTCTGTGGGTTTTCGCGGCTTTTCCAAGACGTCCGCGCCGATAGCGCCACCTATTTCCGTTGTGTCGAGAAGTTAATTGTGTTGTGTTGCGACTTTCTTTGGTGTCGAGAAGTTAATGTGTTGTGTCGCGATTTTCTTTGGTGTTGTGTCGAGAAGTTAATGTGTTGTGTTGCGATTGTGTTGTGTGTCGAGTGTTTTTGTTGTGTGTTGTGGCACTTGTACGCTTCCGTAATAACTTAATCGAGATGCACTTATAAATAGATTATTATTTACCACCAGAAAATGACTTAGGAAGTAGTAATAAATATCCCACCATATAGGAGGGTCAAAGATAACAGTCGCTAAGGATAAAAGCCCAAAGGCCCGATTTTTGAAAATTTCGTCATGCCCAGGAGTCGGGGAGAGGTAATTTTGAAAAATCAGTCGGATTTACACAATTAAAAATATTAATTAATTTTTAAGCGACGAAATTTTCAAGACTTTACCGTAGGCAGACTGTTGTAGTTGTGGCATGTCTCTCTGGATGTTGTCATTTCATGGTCACAGTAGACAGTTCCACTACAAGTTGTTCTTCATGGTTGTTTTTTGACGATTGCTCAACTCTTCTTGTGCATCTTGTTGCATTTCTTTGTTGAAGAAGTAAGGTTTATTTCCCAGTGTCAGAAAAGGATAGTTCCTGGTTATGCTGTTACTAGTAGACTTTTTTTCCGTAGTTATCTGTTGATACTTCTCATGAACTTTTCCTTCATTTTTTTAAGCCAGACAGTAAGATACTAATACTCCACTTTGCATCTCTGTATTAAAATTGGAACGAAACTTCTGTGAAATTAAACATATAAAGCAATCTTATTTCTCTGACAGAATTATATTCAATTAGAAAACAACGAAATTTTTGAAACTGCTTCACATTTCTTTAGCTCTTATTGCAAGATCTTGCTGGAAGTTAAAAATAAAACATTCTGTTTTCTTCTCAGATCACCCGAACTCTTATCTTTTTATTCTCAAATAGTTGCTCATCTATTTCAACAACAACCATCATCTCTATCATATTAACATGTGAATGAGATCACCCCCTTTACCTTTTCGATTGAGATGTGTAATGACATATTTTATATTAAGCATTTTTATTGGACTCGGACAAAAGGTTGTCATATAACAACAATTATATGTTAATATTTAATTTACTTGGCTGTTTATGAAAAAACCCAATCTCACTTAAGACTCTTCTATAGCTATGATAGAAAGCAACAGTGTGATTTTATTCTGTAGGAGGAAAACTGCCTCTTGAGCATTTCACATAATATTAGTATCTCATATTTTATAGAAAAAGAATTAGCTCTCAAAATATAGGGACCAGTCTATGTGCTTTGTCTTAAAACCATGTCTGTTCATTAGCTCTGCATTCATCTGATTTTTTGCCTTGTATAAAGTAGCTGTAATTTCATATCATCAACTACTGTACTAGTACATGACCTTGCATTGGATCATTATGTATCTTGTTAAATAGCTGTGACCTTCCTAAAAACTGGCTCAAGGCCACCCCCTTCAGGTGTGACCTTGTCTTTATGGAATTGATATAAAAGACGTGGATGGAGCACACAAATATTATCTATTTTTGAACCCTTGTTTATAAAATAGTCAACAGAATTAATGTTTTTAGAGATGTTGTTTGAAGCATATTCTGTAATGAAAAATACTGAAGGCAAGATATTTTTTACCCGTGTCATTTATCCATTGATAATTTTTTTTAAATTTCATATATGAAATCAATCTGAGCATGAAAGATAAAACAGTAGTGTTATGTTGTATTACATGTGGGTATAGTGGTAGAGCTTATCACTGAATGGTAGCAGAGGGGGGTACAGTGTTGTACTGTCTGTCGTATATAATTGTAGCTCTTGTACATGAGCCAAGCATGTATCCAGGTTCAAGGGCCGGAATAAACACTTTCTTATTCCATAGGTGCCCCTGAACATGGATAGTTTACATTGGAGAATGCAGGGCTGCGTTGCTTTTAACTTTCTATTAAATACATTGCTTTTTTCTCCTTTCCCTTTTCTGACAGGCGATAGTAATGGTAAGTTGGTTTGATATCTGCTTGCTTTGCTGAACTGCTTATGCTTGGTCTAATTACTAACATTTGGGTATATTTTATTTTGTTAATACCCCCCCTCCATTTCAATTGTTTATTTATTTCTAAACAATGTAATTGTATTTATCCTTTTGTAAATAAGGTGGAGGGAAACCATACCATAGTCCTGTAGTGTTTGTGGAAATTTAAATGCCTTGTGATTGTTGCTCAAGAAGATTGAGCACTGAGATTCTCAAATTCAAAAATGTCACACTGAATCTTTAATTGACAGTTGTTTATGTCTGTAATTGGTGAGCCTGATCAGCTATACACAAAATGAAGTACTCTGTAGTGTTTTTGATTTCAAATTCAGTAATATAATGTTCTTTCAGTCACTGCAGATTTTATGCCAAAAAACCTATTATGATTATTAATATGATCACTGAATCGTGGTTTACAGAATCATTTTGTGTATTTGTGTAAGAATATGGCCTGAATTAATCATATGCATGCCATGTGTTGCACTGTGTGGGAATGGGTTTTGTTTTACATGGTTGATTTCATTGTTAATGATGTTGTTGTCTTATGTTGTTGGTATGTGCTGTGCATGTTGTTGCAGTGCTGTTTTTTTTTATTTTTATTTATTTATTTATTTTTACCATTGCCATGTTTAATTTATTGTGGGGGGGGGGGAGATGGAAAGGGCAGTTTCTGTTGCTCTGTTATGGGATGCAGATGCTTTGAATTATCAAAAAAATTGCAAAAAGAAACTTGATAACAAGAATTCAGAGAGAGCTCCAAATTCAAAGAAATTAGTGAAATAGGCCTGCACTTAAAGAATATAAAATTTTGTTTTCTAAGACTGATGAAAATAGGGCCACCGTCATATTTAAATTTGCATTCTGATTGAGATGGTTCACAATATTTTACGAAATATTTTATCAGCATTACAAGCAAGTACTTCTTATACAAGTCTGATACTTTGCAGTAAATAATTGAGTAGCCCTTGTAACTTTCTAATTCTTTTATCCTGAACAACCTAATGCATAAATTGCTCCTTACGTTTGACTTTTTCCTTTACACTATTTTCAGTTCCTTGAATCATACAACTGTACTCATTATTCCAGAAGTTAAAGATTTTTCACTTTCAAATTTGCCAAAAGAAAAGCAAAACAAAAATAATAGATTGGAACAACTTCTTTTCTGTATGAGCTGTTGTGAAACAAGTCACAAGACTTAGCTAGCTTGATAACATTTATAAAATTTGCATTCAAGAATTTCAAAAAAAAATAAATAAAAACAGCCTAATTTGATATGGGAGTATGTCACAAGTGTCAATTGATGTTTTACCTAGCAGATATTTTGTGTTTCCAGGTTTGCAGAAAGTTGACAAGAGGTCGGATGAGGAGATTGCCAGGGAGAAGGTTCTCACCACACTAGAGACCGCCTATCCCAATGTGCTCTCTGTGGATGACATTGTACAGTAAGTAGGCGACAAGTCTCAGTTATCATAGCTGGACTTGAGCCCAGTATATCCAAGCGCCTCAAGAGCCTTAGAGCCCCCAACATTATCCACTAAGCTAGAACAAGCTCTGGTCTATAACAAGTCGCAGCAACACGATTTTTTGACAATAGGTGAAACGTAATAATGACAACCATCTTGGCAAGCAGATATCAAACCAACTCATTGTCAATTCACATTCAAATTATTTTGCTGTTATTCATCTTAAATTTTGATTTCCTTATTTCAGGATGACTAGTGTGGACACTGGCCTGGTGTCCATGGTGCTGGACGAGCTGAAGACCAAGAGCCTGATTGTCCAGATGGACCAGGGAAGCTGGATGAGACAGGTGCATAAGGATGCCAAGACAGGTGAGATAGGCTTAGTTGACCTGACTGGCTCGTGAATGTTAATTGAGAAAGGGTAAGATCTGGTATAGTGGAGAGACTGACGGAAGATGTTTGTGTTAAAGGTATATGTGATGTTTATTTTGGCCGTCAGGACATGGTTTTGTTATGGTAGAAACTGTGTGTGTAGGGTGTGTGTGAGAGGGAGAGAGAGAGAGAGAAAAAAAAAAGTTGAGGAACTGAAAAAAAGGGGGAGTAATAAGTTAACTAGCTACATCCAAGTTCATCCGTAGAACTTTCTGTGTTTTATGAAGGTAAAATAAAAAGAGGTAAAACTAATACCTGCCAAAAATGTATTTTATGGCATCTTCTTTTGCTGAAACTAAACCTGTCATACAATTAAATTTAATACCTTTCCATATAATTTCCCAAGCTGGTGAAATTAAAGTCAGACACTGCATTTTGATGTTATATGTTCTATTTGTTTCAGAGGTGAAGGTTGTCAAACAAATGCCCATAATTCAGCGGGCCCAGCAGCCTACCATAGCCATCATCACCTCCAACTACTACGAGAAGATTGCCGTGGACTCCATGATGGAGGAGAAGACCACGTTCATGAGATATAAGGGCACTGGAGGTAGGTGACGTTTGGGACGTCAGGGCCTTTTTGAAGCATTCATGTGAAATTAATATAATCTGTGTGTGTGGCAGGCATGCAGGTGTTAAACTGGTTTGAATTAAGTTGTATTTCAGCTATTTATTGAGTTCTCTCTCTCTCTCTCTCTCTCTCTCTCTCTCTCGTATACTCATTTACATCCTATTTCAAGTATCTAATTCTTGTGAAACACATAATGGCATGTATTCAATTACCCCTTTTCTAGGTGAATCCAATGTATACACACTAGGCTATATAGGGGAACACAGAGTTGTGTCCACCAAACTGCCCATGATTGGTCACTCCAGAGCGGCAAAAATATCCACTGGTAATACCACCACCAGGTTGTTAGGTAAGAATGAAAGCGAACTGGTTTCCTGAGTGGTTTCAGCTCAGGTTTAAAGAGGGTGCATCACCACTGGCCTACACTTTTTATCATTTGGTTGGTAATTTAGCAAGGAGGAAGTGAAATTGAAATCTTCAGCAGAGACCAACCTTAGGCTAGATTTGCTTTATAACGAGAAAAAATCATTAAGTTAAATTGGGTTTGATATTCGTTGCAGAATTGTTTTTCTTTGAGCTTAAATGTCTTGTTGTATTTTAACATTATCTGTCTTTGTTTCAATATTTGCTTGTTAAGTATGGGTCTTTTGGGCCCTTCGAATTCACATCCAGAAATCAAAGAGATAAGACATTTCAAAATGGCTGATTGCAATTTCCTACAAAGTAAAACTATTAATGAATATTTCATTCATTCACTTCAGGCACATTTGCTCAGGTCGACCACGTGATGTTGGTTGGTTGTGGCGGTGGCGTCCCCCACTTCACCGACTTCTACAAGCACTGTCGCCTGGGTGACGTGGTCATCTCCACCCCCAACCAGAAGGGCTACATGTACATCTACTGCGACAAGGTGGTCCAGGACAAGGACAACCAAGTCCAGTACACCCTGAAGAGCTGGTCCCCGCACGACTTGCTACTGCAGCGCATATCGGAACAGATGAAGGAGCAGTTTGAGGCCAATCCTGATGTGCGTCCCTGGGACGTGTGCATTGAAGAAGGGCTGCAGCTGTTGGGGACACAGGAGCAAGACTTCTCGCGACCACCTGCAAGCTCCGATAAGCTGTTCATGAATGTGGGCGGAAGTGATGTCATCGAGGTGGGTCACCCACCAGCGCCGGAGAACGATAAGTTGTACAAAGCAGATGCCCCCGACCATTCGTTTTGGCACCATAGGGTCAGGGCGCCAGGTCGTTGCCAAAGACTATTTACGCCAGGACTTTGCGTACCGTCATAATATTATTTGCTTCGATAATGAATTCGACCAGGTTCTGGAGTCCATCTGTGGGAATGTGAAGGAGAGTTTCATCTTTATCCGCGGTATTTCTGATTACCTGGATGGTTCTCGCAGCAAGGGTTGGCAGGCGTATGCAGCACTGGCAGCAGCAGGCTACATGAAGGCCCTCATCTGTAACATCCCTACTGGCACAAGTTAGATTGCATGCGTCACACCCAACACAATTTGCTGGTCACATCTAACACACTGCCAAAGGTGCCGCCATAGAACTCCAGAAGAGAAGGCAGAGTATTTGTGGTATTGCTTGAATAGTAAAAATGTGCAGTGTGGTGCTTTGAATGCATTAGTTGTGACACTGACGTGTCTTCTACACCACAGTGCAGTGACAATTTTTCCCCAATTTGAAGGAACACAATTTACATGATTACAATGGTGTTATTCTTATCAAGTACATTCAGGAGTAGCGTCTTTTAGGAAATTATTGCTGTCATTATTTAACTTGCTATTTCTAACCCACAAATGAGAGTCGAATTATTACAGTGTGCTTATGAATACACGCTTTTGTATGCTTTCTGATTTGTTTTTGTTTTGTTCTAGTCAAGCTATTATTGTGCTATTCCTGTGCTATCAGTAGACTCATGCTTATGGTTTGCTACAGTTATTAGATATGTTGCTTGTGAAAATATATTTAAATAAAAGCAGCAGCTTTTTTATACAAATCTTAAAGAAAGAGAGAACTGCAAGTAACATAAAAAACGCATTTAACCAGTGCCGTCTACAGGCATTTTACTCAACTGACCTGTTTTATTTCCAGTATGTAATTAAGAAGTCTTACCTTAAGTAACCTTGTGAAATACTTATACAGAATTAGTGCTGCACACTCCTAGGAAAGTTTTTTTTTTTTTCTGAATCCTGTAAAATGCACCCTTTTATTATACAGTGCACATGCCAATTAACTATACTGACTACATACACATTGGTGTCATACTTCACCTTTTATTGACCAGACTTGTTATATGTATATGTATTGTTATTCAGCAAATGACTATGCTCAATTGGCCCATTATGCTTGTGATATGCCATATAAATATGTAAAATGTCCTGAGCATGTAGTCTGCTTGGTAAAATGCTTATCTTATAGAAAGTTCATCACATTTTGAATGAATAGTTTCTGTAGTAGCTGATCCAAAAATGCCTCCGATTTGTTCGAATTTTTTTTTCTTTTTTCTTTATTGTTTATTTATTTTATTTATGTGATATTTGAAATTGCAGTATCATTGAACTACCGCCCACAGTGACGAGGTAATGTTGTTGAACATTACAGCATCTGTATATGGTTATACCAATACTTAGTTATACCAATAATATCTTCACTGTCCAGTATTCATGCCTATATGTAATGAGGTGTATCTTGCTGGAGAGGAGAGTGTTTTGCAATGTGGCATTTGGCACAACATTTCCACTACTGTCTATTCATTATTATTATTTTTGTTATTATCAGCATTTATTGTTTGGTTGTTTACTTATTTATTCATTTATTTAAACATTAGCACTTGCTAAATTTTTTGACAGCCTACCATTAAATAAATGTAGTATGTGTATAGATTTGCTTATAATATGTATGTAATATGTACCAAGGATACCTCACTGCCAAATAGGTAAGCCATAAGAGGGGAAGTAAGATATCGTAGTAGTAGTAGTAGAAGTAGTGTTGAAATGCATATTTGGTAAGAGAAGGGGTTAGAAGAAAGTGTTGACCATTTTGAGGACCTTTCACAAAGTAGTCATATCACGTTCTGTATACTATACTGCCGTAGACCCCTGTTTCTGTCATCTTGAGGGGTTAAATATTATATCAGTTCCTCTTTACCTTCTCGAGTCTTAATAACTGATGTCACACAGAAAATTGGAGAGGGCTTGTAGTCTTTACAACCACTGATGTTTATAGTGAACTTGTTTGTGCTTGAATGAAAACGCATCACACAGTTGTTTGTACTGTTGCTCTGTATTATATTGCTCTTTTAAATTTGCTGAAGTTCGTCTTTTTCTCTGGGGTGGGGTGTAAGAAGTATTAGTAAGCGATTTTCTTTGTTTACTTATTTTTGGTAGATAGAATAAGACAAAAATGCCTAAAAGACTTCAGCAAATTCATTTTCCTCTCTGATTATGTGTTACGTTACTTGTTGATACTTGTGAACACGCCTCGTTACTGAAATATTGAAGCTTGTCTGTATATACTTGTGATGATTTTCATTGTGATCCAGAATTAAAAGACTATTCTTGACAAACACATGCTGTTAATTGTTTTGAATATTTAGCTCAATTTTAAAAGAAGAGATAAAAAATCTGAGATTTCTAACCATGATATCACCACAATATTAATCGTGTGGCCGACAACCCAATGGACAGTTGTTTTCTTTGACCTGGTGTGTTTTAGTGCCCACCCCCCGCCCCCCCCTCCCCCCCCAAAAAAAATATATATTCATAGGTAGATCAATTAGACACACGTAGACGGATCCAACCTTCCCACACATGCGCGTGCGCACACGCCTTGCATGCGCCTACACGCGAACAATCCCTCCTAAAAGGGGGTAAAAGACTCGGTGAGGATCAGGAACATGTGTGAATTGTAGATTATGTTTAAATCAAAAGAATAAGACGGTTCCTACAGATATTAAGATCGATCTATCCCTCTGGGGAGTCTCACTAGATTGCTGTCAGCCTGACCGGCCTAAATGTCTGTCCCGCCTACTAAAAGCTGTAATGGGGTAATTAACTTTCGTGCGCGCTCGGCTCTCGGAAGCTGACAGCAATTTAGCGTGAACCCCCAGGGAGTTAGGTCGATCCAGATGGATCGATCTAAATCTGTGGGAACCCAGTCTTAGAATTCAAAGACTATTAGCTTATACAGAAGACACGGGTACGAGTCAGACTTCCATATGTGTTGGGGGGGGGGGGGGGGGGAGCGCTGTTCGACTTGCGCATAGACAGCAAAACACTTAAAGAACGAAAAAGCATGCATGAAACAAACCGCTAAATGCAAAGAAATTGCCCTTGCTTCTTATGAAAATAATTACAAGACAGTTTGTGGAGGCAATTTTGTCAGCATACGAAGGGATAATGCACATCATTGTTTTGAATAAATACACAAAGCTACAATGACAAAGACGTTAAAATGTCGTCAGCAGTTATTTGTGTAATTGGATGCCATTTCGGATATTCTGTTTTTCCTGTTATTATGTATGTTGTTTGACGAAATTGTAATTAGAACTGATATAATATCTAATCGGATTTTGAAAACAATCCTTCTGATGCATATGTATTGAAAGAGCATTGCGTGTGTTAAAAAGCAACAGGCTATACCAGATCCAATTTTGTCACGAAAAGATTTAACACGAAATTTCCTGGCGCCCTTATTAACTTCTGAGTAGTTTCCGATCAACACCCGGCATTTTGCCAGAATTATGAGTACACGTAAACTCGACCTTTAAATTTTATTCTGTAGTGGAGATTGAACAGCTGCATTCGATTTTATAGTGTTGCAAAGCTTTATAAAGTGCATTATACAGGGGCAAAAAAATCATTCAAAATTATTTGACACAAACTTAATATATAGGACACATCTTTAAATCAACAATAATTGAAAAGAAAATTTGAAGATACGAGTCATCAGAAGTTTCTGTTTTTTTTTACTCTTCACACAGAAATAAATTTATTCATCTTCGTTTTTCTTGTCTTTTGTTTGCGGTTGTAATCTTGTTTTAAATCATTTAAAATTGAACGGTCGAAAGGACTCAGATTTTGTACTACGCAAATTATTAGATTAATTGAAAGAATTTTGCATGTTTAAAGAAACAATAGGTTAAACCAGATTTTGGACGAAATAGAATTAATTTGACATGTAAGAAACAAGTCCGTTCACACTCAGCTTGGACGAAAAAACATATTATTCGTCCAAGCACTGAGAAAAAGATGACTGTCTATCTTTCTTTTCATAGTCGCATTTACCGTGATCATCTGTTTATTTTATTTTATTTTATTTTATTTTATTTTATTTTATTTTATTTTATTTTATTTTATTTTATTTTATTTTATTTTATTTTGGAATTTAACAAAAACAAAACAAAAGGAATTTTAGGTTATTTCTAGAAATTAAGCTTTTATAAACGAGGAGGAATGGAAGGTTAAACGGATGTTTTGAGCTGGAGCTTATTGTCATTCCATCTTTATCATGTAAACGCAATGGTTGGAGATTTGATATAGGTTAAAAGCCGTTTGTAAGGGAAATTATCCCAAAATGAGCAATTTTTTTGGGGAAAATCAACAATCAGTATGAATAACGGACCATCTAGGTCAATAGTTTTTACAAGAAAACAAGCAAATACAAGACGGGTGTGTTCAGACAGTCCAAAAAATTTATTGAACTTTTAATGTTGTTTTAGCTTGATCAAATTCAAGAAAAAATCTACCTTTACACAACCGTGAATATAAATAAAATTCTTTTCTTTACATGGGGAGATGAGTCAGTTGTTTTTGTTGTTTCTTCAATCAACATATAAGACGAGAGGTTTTTTTTTCCCCCACCCAAAACAGTATCCGCCAATATTGCACGCAGGCCTACTTTTTCTTCGAGAACAGCTAGCAGACTAATTTATCGTTAAGTTCGAATAGGGAATTTTAACTTGTAATTTTAACTTTTTTGACTGAAGTATGTGTCAAAATCCCAATAAAATCAGTTTCAACCAGAAACTGAAATTGGACAAGGGAAAATAACCCGGAGTAAAAAAATCCATTAACGATGGTGAAATGATTCCGATGTGTTTCATATTCCAGCTACCGCAATGTTTGCTGGTGGTCGTCACATGGCCATGTGCACTATTTATGACCTACATATATATTCATACACCCATGTAAACACGAGTGATAATTTTTGTGAAATAAGCAAATCTAGAAAGTGATTACCAAGGTTGTTGTGGTCCCCATATTCTCTGGCTTTCTAAGGATAACGATTGGTTAGTATTTGTAAATATTACTGATAGAATGCGACGTATTTCGACATAATATGCACTACATTTTTGCGTATGTGTACGCGGAGTGAGCCAAGTATAAATAGAGGATGAGTGTAAATGTTGCAGTTAGAGCCACATATGCCGTTGTCGTGGGTAGATGTGTCAATTGAAATGAGAAAATTTCCCAAAAGAAGCATATTGAAAGACAGTTATAGAGTGTATCGGAAGAAAAATGGTTGACAGACCGATGGAGAGTGAAAATGTGAGCGTCTTTGTGACAGATAATTCTCTTACGTGCCCGGGCCCACAGCCCTTGTCCGAGGTCGCTGTTGATGATGTCACTGAAGTTGAAGGGCGCCCAGGGACCAGACGAGCCCCTCGTGCAGAAAAGAGGGGGTCGGAGGAAATGGACGAGGGCTCATCAGGGGAAAACGGAGTGTCGGGGAAGAAAAAGCATCGGCGCAAGCGCAAAGCCGGTAAACACCACAATAATCGCAAGTGGAAGCCGTACAATAAGTTGAGTTGGGAAGAAAGGAAGGCGTTGGAAGATCGCGAAGCCGTGCGTGCCAACCAGAAACGCCAAGATCGCTTCAACTCTGGGCATCCAGTCGCCCCTTACAATACCACGCAGTTCTTAATGGAGGACCACGAAGATCCAAATATAAAAAACTTAGAAGAAGATGAAACCCTTATCCAACAAAACAGACAGAATAGCAACAATTCTATGAATTCCTACAGTCAAGATTCATCGGACGAGTATTTCTACGACTCGCCAAACGACGAGGAAATTTTTCTTGCGAAAGATTTCACTGAAACTTATGACAATATTCACGCCGAGAGACTGGAGAGCATGAGCAAAGGGGAACTTGTCCGTGAGTATCTTGCAATGGAAACAAAACTTGAACAGATGGAGAAAAAAGTTAAGCGTTTAGAATCCGTGTCACCTTTGGAAGAAACTGGAAGTACAACGAGTAGTAATGGAAGGACAGAGACAGAAAACTTTGCAAATAATAACCAGACCGATTTGTTAGCTGATGATAATGACAGAGTCCCCCAAATTTCTGCATCCAAACTAAAGTCACCAGAAATTAATGATTATAACAGATTGCAGCAGGAAATTCGCCAACTACGTGAAGAAAACTGTCAACTTGCTAGAGAAAATAAAGGTCTAAGTACCCAGGACTCGTGTACATAGTAAAAATGGGTATTGTTAAGTCTTTGGTTGTTAAGATCATGTTGAAATGTTAGGCCAGTTTTGTAGTATGAAAACAAGTAGGTTATTGTTTGATGGTGCCAGCAGTTTTAACACCTGATAATAAGGCTCAAGATACACAGAAGCAGTATATTTTCTGTCAGCTTGTTCATTTGAGCAATCAAATTTTAATAAGGAGCTTATGCCCTTTAAAGTGGTTTGCCCAGTTAATTTTTTTTTTTTTTTGCCATTAAGAATAGTTACCATGTTTTATGAAAGCTGGTTAAAGTGCCTCAATTTTTGTTCAAGAAAGTTAAAAAGCTGTTTTATAAAGTGAGTGGGGCATAGCCTTGTTGAGCTGTAATTGTATCAGTAAATTGCAGAAATTTGCATCTACAATCTTGCTTCTGTTTCTATTTTAAGCCTTGTTGTTTTGGTCAAGGGCAGTGTGTAAGGAATCCACAGTACGTTGATCTAGGTAGCATTGGCAAGTGGGATGTTTTGATGGCAAAGGGAGTTTTTTTTTTTTTTTCTTCAAAAATGTTACCTGAGGATTTGCATGAAACGGGCTGAGAAATTAACATTCCCATCATGTATCACTTACACTGCATTGAACTGGTTCTAGTCCAGTGGGGTTATTTTTATGAACAAACCCAAGACTGTCTGTAACAGTTACATTAACATTCCTGAAGTAGTCTGTTCCCTTGATGATAATACCTTTGTTAATGGAACACATCCATGGTCGTTTACTGAGCTAGGTACATCATCATTTGGGTATAATTAAGAGTGGAAAGAAGAAAAATCTATTCTGTTTAATCAATGGGGGGCTGATACTAATGCCTTGGTGTAGTATGCTGAGCAAATCTGGTTTTGCAGAATGTGGTAACATAAAGAAAATGCACTATTGATTTTACTGGGATCTGTAAATGAAAGTGGTATGACAAAGTGGATTATATACATTCAAGTCTTTAGAAATTGTCTGTGTAAGCAGAGCCAGCAAGAGGATTATTTGCAGTTTTAATGAAAAGGTTTGTGGGTCCTTAGTAATGACAGTGTGTATGAAAGATATAAACTGATTTATTATAAGGGGGTGAATCATTTATACTGCAGCAAAATCTAGTCAGTTTTCCCCTTAGTGTTTTATAAAAAAGCAAGGAATTTCCTTGCGATCAAGCTCTTTTTAAACATCTCATATCTAAAATGTTTAATGATTATATTATAATGTTATATAATTGATATGATATTCTACCATGTTCGAGTAATTTTTGACTATTTTTTTGTGGTTGTTCAATCAAAGTGTATGTCCCCGTTGCATCAATCTTTGCCTGTACAATCCTGACTATTCTAGTGCAGATGTTGCCCAATTATCTGTTTTTAAACGGGCCATTATACCAAGTTTAAATGGATGAAGTTTTAACCCATTTGTATGATTGATTTTGAAATTACAACCAGTATTTATATCAAATTCTAACAAATTCTCCTCTTATTTTGGACTCTGATTTTTCTGTGGTCATTTTACAATTATTATTTCGTTGGCTGTTAAAATTTTATTTTGGTGCTGAAAATCAGTTTATAGCCACCGAAGGCTACAGGAATAATAAAACTTTAGGCAGTAATATTGATTTATATAGAAAAAAAAGGGTCACGTGCACCCAATTTATCAGTTACCAGATTTAGGCAGCACTGCGTGAACTAAAATACGTTAAAAACTGGATGTCACGGTACCTGTCATCAGAAGATGCAGGTTTGATGAATGTTCACATTATATTAAACACATTTGTTTCCCCCGTGGAAACGAGGCAGCTATTAGTTATGTGGGGAAGTGCACTGGAGATACGTGACCTAGTCCGGGGGAGGGGGGGGGGTGATGATTTTTTTTTTTTTGGGGGGGGGATAGAGAAAATGTTTGAAAGTTAAGGGAAACTGTTACTACTGTCCAGTGTCATCACTGCCAATATTTGTTATATAAAGTGTTGTTATCGTCATGGTTATATACCAGCCACTGCATTTCCCTCCTGCCTCTCAGGACAGCAAGTGTTTCCAACCTCGCAGTCCTCATGATGTTGACGTCGGTTCAAATGGAACAGACTTGGTGGAGCTCTCTCTCCCCCCTCCTTCTAGGCCCCTCTCCCATAAAAAGCATTCAGGTCATAATGCGTTTGATCTATCAAAAAAGGTAATAATAATTATTATGATGATAACAATACGTCCATTTCTGAAAGAAATTTGATGCAACTAAAACAATTTTGAACTCGCCCAATTTTCTCCGGTCTTTTCGTCCTCTTGTCCTCTCTGGCGTAACATGAAAACTGGACAGTTGGAAACACTTGTATTAATGTAGCTGTTAAATACGATAGGAATAGGATGATGCATCACCAACAGGGCATCTTAGGGCTCCTCACCTGGGCTATATAGGTCTGCTACAGTGCTTAAGGTAGAAAGGGTGCTGGGGTGGAACTAATTTGAGACCAGGTGTATAATCATAATCCAAGAACAACTGACATTTTCCGGTAAATTATTTTTGGTGGATTGTTTTACCACCTCTTTTTCCATTTAATCCGCAAATTCTCTCCCGTGCTCGTGATGCATCGTTCTTAGGCCTGCCGTTGTAGATTGTTATGTATTGATTTATGTATAGTGGGCTTGTTGCCAGTGTATTGAAATGTGTGGTGATTGACACCACGTTTCGGCCAGTTGACACAATTCTATGGAGTTATGCTGTTCATAAGTCATGTATGTTGAACGAGTCCTCATTTGTATTGTCATGTAAGAGCATGAGATTTAAGGTATAAGAGCCAGTTATCTGTATTCACTTGTTGAAAGTTACATCGGTATATCTAGAAAGGTTCTTCAGCAGAAATGAAAAGTTCGTGTTGCCAAGGTGTAATCCAGGCTACCAAGCGAATGCGTGAAATAGTTTGAGGTAATGTTTTTCAAATTTGCTTTAAATAGTAGCTGGGCCTCTAGCTGTGGCACTCCTCCGTGTGGTAGAGCGAAGCACCTGTCTCCCTGATTGCTACCACCTGTCGGCGTCTTGATTATCACGTACGGTGCAACTAGAGGTCCCGTGTAGGTGTCGTGCAAATTAACAATCTGCGCTCTGTTCCTGTTTTTTGAGTCGCTCAATATTAGAAAGTTGTATCAGCTGACGTGTCTGGCGAGATGAATGAGGACTCGAGTTGGCTTCTCTCATTAAGGTATAGCAGTTATCGAAGAGGTGATAAATGTGGAGGGATTATACACTTACTGCTATTTAGTGTCTTCGGAATTCTTTATAATTATTGGAGGATGTTTTTGAGCACACTTGTTCTGATTATTGGGACGTGTGCCGTCGTTTTTTATTTGATGCACGAAGCGCCATCTGACGAGGGTAATTATATGGCCAGGGAGCGGCTCTAACCATTTACTAAGGACCCAAGGTGCAGCTTGCATGCTCCGTATACTTTCTCTGTGAAGGGAGTCTTATTAGATTAGAGTTGTATTTTTTTTTTTTTTTTTAGACTGCAGAGTCTGTGATACGATTAAGCGGCGAATGAACAGTCCAACATTTCAATGAGAATGACTAAGTAGAAAAAAGGTTTTTAAAAAGAATTGATGAAAAACAAAAGAAAAATGTCAAATTGTTCATATATGAACATTTTTGTAACAAAAAGGCAATAAAACATTTCAGTACACTTAACGATGTGTTTCGTCTTACATATTTATGTTTAACTTGGTGGTAAAAAAAAGATTACGTGAACATCTATTCGAGCGTCTTACAGTTCAGCAATTCGTTCAAGTTCCAGGTCTCGGAAGACTAGTAATTTGTGCCTTGAACACGACAATACGATAATGTAGGAAAAAAAATCAAGTTTTGCCAGTTGGATCGGAAAAGCGACTTAAAAATACCTATTTTCCCCATTTACTGGTGCGACACCAAATCACACCGGCAGCTAATGCCGTGCGCTGCAGAAGTAATTGGAAACCCGTGTTCTCTCTTTCGCTGTGTAGATGTTATCACGTTCGAGTCATGGTGGTGGAAGTATTCTGTCTTGACATTGTGCTGCTTATGTATTCCAAGAGAATACGAGACTGAGCTAGTTTCCTTTGAGCCTCTTTACGCCCTCGCATGTAACGTGGAGTAATCTTGTCTGCAGTACGAAGTCAAAAAACACACATTCACATTTACGTAAGAAAAAAATGAGTGAAGTCGTGCACACAGAGTTACCGGAGTTACTCTATATTGCTGAGGAAGGCTTTTGCGGTATTCTCGCCCTTTCCACGCTAAGTCTCATGAGTATACCAACTGTAGGCCTATAGGGCCTACTTTTCCCATTTGAATAGAATTGCAACCGGTGTCTTGTGTTTTCTTGTGGCAGTTCAGTGCACCTTTCTTCAGCGATTTTGTATGTTAAACTTATAATCTGTTTGCATTCAGCGAGAGTCCCCGCGAGAGTCTATATTTTTTAGGTAGATAGAGGATATTGTGCTGGGGGGGGGAGAAAAAAGGAGGAGGGAGGGGGTACTGAACGCAAAGCAGACTTCACCAATCCAATCCCGACTGACCAAGCCTTGGTCAAGTCCTTAAAAAAGACTATAGGCCCTATCGTCTTGCTAGTGTAATATTTGACAGAGGCACGGGGTAACTTTTAAATCGAAATATAAGTTGTAAATCTTTTGAATATCATGATACTGTACACTGAAAGAATCAGAATAAGCAGCTCATCATGGCAAAAAACGATTTTTCAGAAAAAGAATAGCCTTTAAAATTGCTGACTACAATGCCTGAAAGTAATATTGTTAACTTAAAACAACACACGCGTGCACCCACACAAACGTGTGTGTACAAGTACAGTAGGCCTATACAGGAACACACAAACGCAAACGTATACTACACTTCATTAAAGATGACATCAGCCTTTGAAGAGTAAAACGTCTCTTTCGTCCAAGCAACAACAAAGGTCAATCGATCCCTTATCTTGGTTATCTGGGGGGATTTTGGAGAACAGACGGCTGAAGAGGGGAGGAGAATGTCATGGACCACTCAATTTAGATCTCATTTTATATGTTTGTGGAGGCAGTGCTGGTAGAAAGGATGGCTTGAAATATGTAGAATCGGTCTCTCTCTCTCTCATCCTATAGATTCAGATATTAATTAAGTGATAATCAACCTCTTATTTAAACAATGGTCTTTGTGACTCACTTAACACAACTGTCAAGTTGTTTACAGATATTTCATGCAGTGAGTGCAACATATTTAGTCGACAAAAATATGTCCTGAGACCGCATGTAGAAGGCAGCTAGGGACTGGCCACTGAAATCATAATACAAAGCAATACCCTTTTATGAGCCTATAAATAGGCCAGGCAAGACTGAATGGAGTGGGTCATGGTTTACCTGATTCTGCGTCAATACTATGTTTATTTCTCCGCATCTAGGTCACCCCTTGGCCTTCGGTGGGCCCCTAGTGTACCACGTGATGCTTATTACGTAATTAATCTAGTGTGAGCGAAGCTGCATAAAAACAGCACAAGAAGATATATGCACCGTGCACACACAGGGCAGTACAAAGAATACGACGTACGACTGAAATCAATAAAGCAGCCCATTGCTGTATGGGGAGGAAAAAAACGTAAATTGATGACCAGTTGTGTGCGTAGGCCCAGTGATACTTTGTAATATATGGTATTTGAAAATCAATAAATCTATGCACGGTGTAAACAATACTATTTGTTTGTATTATTTATGGAGATTTTCATATATAGGCCCTACGTTTTTGTAGCTAGGCCATCATTTTACCTGTATACAAACCAGGGCAGCGTGTAGAAAACATTGGCGATTTATCACAACATTCGATTCCCGGTGCAGTGTTTTGCTGTGGTTGGGGCCTACTTGTATTTTGAAGAAGGGTCAGCGAAAGAGAAAGAGAAAAAGAGAGAGAGGATGCAAGGGAAGAAAGAACCGAGTAATAGAGAGAAAATTTTGAAGAGAAAAGAGAAGAAAGAAATGTAGAGATAAAGAAAGAATAAAGGCGACTGGAGAGTGCACAGAGAGAGAGAGAGAGAGAGAGAGAGAGAGACGGCGAGGGAGAGAGGTCGGGGAGGAATAGATCGAGAAAGGGAGAGTGAATGGGGGAAAGGGGTCGGGGTAAGAGGGAGATTAAGGTCGTCGTCACTCACGGAGGGCGTTGGAGCGATGTTGATTTGGTTGCCACAAAACGGACAAAATGTACCAGTAAAGGCCACTAAGCTATAATTACATGATTTAGCATAATCAAATTAACTTTGACTTAAAGCAACTATATGGTACTGCTTCTGGCAAATAAAAAGTTTTGGGTCAATAACCTGCATAAAAGCCAAGTGGCAATCAAGAGAAAATAAAAGCCAAAGAAAGCATAACCGGAATCATATGTATCGGATTTAAGTTTTTTAGATTCTGACCTTTTTGCATATACTGCCAAAGCTTTTATATATTCACATGAAATTTTATTTGTAATCTTGATAGTGAAATTCCCATGCAATTCAAGTCACACACTTTTTTATTCATATTACAGAGATTAACATAAGATACCCAGAAAATATGTTTGAATATCCCGTAAAGATTTTACACTTTGTGACCCTGGTAGAGGGTACCGATAACCTCAAAGTGATGGACAAAGGCTGCATTCACATCCAAAGTTGATCCGAGGACTAACAGATCCGAGCATCAAATATGGCCGACCAGCTTGAAAGCTGACCACGTAATCCCCGAGGGAAATCTATTGTGTCTATGAGGGGATAATACGACAAGCTTTCAAGAAGGTCGGCCATTTTTGATCCGCGGATCTGTTCGACACCGGATCACCTTGTTCTGAATTCCCCTATAGTGTCACTGAAGGCTGACGCGATGGCCAAATTATAAGTATGTCCGATTATAAGTATATATGGTTCAGATGATTGCGGTTCACGTTTTCAAACAGTCATGTGCAGTAGATGGTACAATTTTCCGTTGAATGTGTTAGGTGTGACAGATCCCTTGAAGCAATTCTTAGACAACGTGCGCGTTGGCCGATACCAAAGAAAATAGGCCTACTTTAATCGTAAACCCAATCCCCTCCGTGTTTACCCCTTCCATACTATTATTATTATTATTATTATTATTATTATTATTATTATTATATCTTATTTAGTTTTTTTTTTTTTTTTTTTTTGGGGGGGGGGGGAGGGCTTCTCCGTTTTTACCTCTAATGCAATATTTGACTGCCCTCTCGGAAGAGTATGATTAATGAAACAGGTACTCCATAAAAACATTACTGTGATATGTAACTGGCGTTCTAAAAATATACAGTATCCTAGGATTCTACAACATAGTAGAAAAAGATACAGGCCTACCATTGCGCCAAAATATAGATTTACTCGCGTTCTTCACATATTTTATATCACGAAGGATGCAAATATGTGCTTTGCATATTAATCATAACAAACAATTTTAATTAAAAAATATCTTACCATTCAACAACACATAGATTCACCTGCATAAACAATATAACACATAATTGTTTTCCAAATATTATAAAAAGTATTCAATACATAATTAAAGATAAAGAAAAAACTATCATAGACTGCAACCACCTCCACCCTCAAACTAACCTTCATTGAAGAATAAATAGAGAACAACAATTAAAAGTTTTATGCTTATATCTTGATAGATGCACTTAATGAGTAAAACACCTCACAGTATTTCGGACTAGAATCATTCAGAGGACATTGGTCTCATCACATTTTTATATCATTTTCTTGATCCTGAGAAGCATGGTCCAAGTTTACTTTTTCCATTCACCTTTTCTATTTATCCAACATATAAAAAAATAAAATCTTAGCAATACATGTCTAAAAGATACATACTGTAGTGTGGATTTCCAGTAACTCATATAAATCACTTCTATCAGTTCTTTATACTTTCTTAAATCATTAATCGGGAAATATAAAAACTGTATGTCCTTTATATATTCTTTAATTAAGTTATACTATTTGAAACTATACATGTATGGTGGCCTTTGGTCAGGTTTTATAGCAATAATTTGATTTAAAATGCATCTGGAATGATATAAGTCGCTGTCTACTGTAAAATCAATCTTCGAATAAGGGAAATCGTCTTTCAGAATGCAACATCATTACATTCTCTGTTTTTATATCTGGAAAAGAAACAATGTTGTTATCACATTAACTCATGTTGTCCTGTTATTATCACAATAACAGGACACCACAATGCACAAGCCAAGCAAAATTTATCAAGCTGACGCCATTACGTATAAAACGCCCTTAATTTTTTGTTTTTTAATTAGAGCCACCCGGCATATTTACATTTACTAAGTTGTTATTTCAAAATTACAATTTTTGATTTGGTTAGCCTTCACACTTAAGTTTCAGAATGATGAAAAACTATCCAGTTCTTGTCGAATAAAGATTTATGTCCATGCCATGCATTAAAGGTCCCATAAAATTAACTATTTTTAAGGTTTCAAAATTCCTTTAAAGCTTGTAACAATTTTTAAAAACTTCAAAATATATTCATAAACGGACCTGCCCTGCCTTGTTAGCTGAAAAGAGTAATTCTTTCTCTAGAAAGTCACTGTTTAAACACTGTTATAAAAATATCAAATACTTACCCTCTTCATATGCACTCTTTACAATACCAGCTCAACCAAAATCAACACTCTTAACATTACAAAAACAGCATTGACTCCTCCCCCTGAAACACATAGGTTCGTGGCTGAAATACCAGTTTGTTTACAAAAATTCAGACATACTTGCATTTTTATTATTTGTTGGATAGAGCCCATGAATTTAATGATCACTTTATAAAAATAAATAAATAAATAAATAAATAAATAAATAAATAAATAAATAAATAACAACATAAAAAATGAATAAAAATTACAACGTTAACTAATAGACGCACCTGCATGGTCACTGAAATATAATAATAACTGCCAATTCCAATTTCATTTAGGATCATTCCATAAAAAGTGAACATTTGAGTCGGGTAAGTGACCCACCCATTTTGTGTAACATTTGCATAATTTAGACTTGCCGGTTTGCTGTTTTCTTACTATAGAAACCTTCAATATGAACAGAAATCTACAGTTTCTGTATAATTAAGAACTACACTCTTGCCCAAAATGGTTGGTACACGGAAATTTTGGGAGGCATATTGCCCTGTTTCTTTCATTATTATTGTTATTATCAAATTAATACTGTTTATAGTGTTAAATATGTGAAGCTGGAGGATTGGTAAAGTCAAGGAGAAACAAAAAATNCCAGAATTTGGAGGATGATCAATGTGCTTTAAACCAGAGGCATTTTCATATTAAACCCCATCAAAATACACTCCAGTATATGAAATAAATAAATAAATAAATAAATAAATAAATAAATAAATAAATAAATAAATAAACTAGTGGATCAGAGAGGCGATACTGCCTCCAATTATTGTACCACCAGCTAAAGTAAGAACATTCGTGAAGAAATCAAAAAAAGGGACACTACCTCCAGTGTAGTGCTTGACAAGCTCTTCAAAATGCAGTACATAAGAGTCCTCAAGTGTAACATCTTTTCATAATACACTCTTGCCCAAAATGGTTGGTACACGGAAATTTTGGGATGCATGTCGCCCTGTTTCTTTCATTATTATTGATATTATGAATTTAATACTGTTTATATTGTGAAATATGTGAAGCTAGAGGATTGGTAAAGTCAAGGAGAAACAACCAATGCACATGTGAAGAAAGCGTTATTTTATTTAGGTTTTTTTTTTCTCATGCCCCCAAAAAGAGTACTTTTTTTACATAACAGTACCAAGTGAAAAATTAAACATAAATTTATACTGTGATTGACAATTTATATGAAATTAGGGGAAATTGTCAAGAAACATCTTCAGAGTTCATTATTAATCTCAATAGCGGGTATGCCCACCCCGGGCTTGGATAATGGCTGCCATACGACGTGGCGTACTGTGAACTAGAGTTACAGCTCTTTGAAGAGGAATTCTGGTCCATTCATCTTGAAGGGCATCTTGCAGTTCATCTAGATTTGCAGAGGGGGGATTTCTCCTCTGAATAGCAGGACCAAGTTCGTCCCACATGTGCTCAATTGGGCTTGCATCTGGGCTTCTTGCTGGTTGTGGCATCAGCTGAATGTTGTTTTGTCGGATATAATCTGCAATTAAGCGGGCTATGCGGGGAGTTGCATTGTCATATTGTAATCTAAAATTGTCTCTGTATATCCCTCTTGCGAACGGCTCCAGGTTCTGCTGGAGAATGTCTCTTTATCTGGCGGCGTTAAGGGTTTCATCCAGAGGAAGCAATGGGCAAATACCGTTACTGCAAATGGCACCCCAAACATGTACAGAACCTCCTCCTCCAGCTATGAGAGTGCTTAGGCTCCCTGGGGAGAGGCTGATAACTAAAAATATCCAGGAAACAATAGCAGGAGGAGATGGTTGAGGATCCTTGAGGATCCCACATTTCCAGATACAATATTATGTGGGGACATGTTGGTAGTGGTATGGGGCCGTAGCGATAGTCCGAAGGTTCAATAGTCCGAAGGTTCATTGGTCGGAATGTTCACTATAGAACCTTTGGACCAATGAACCCTTGATTAAAAAATTGATAAAAATGTTACCACTTTTCAGACCAATGAACCTTCGGACCAATGAACCTTCGGACTATCGAGACGCCCCCAGTGGTATCAGGCAAGGCGTGCACTGTGGGTTAGTCCTGGAAATGTGGGATCCTCAAGGCCAGTTAGCACATTATGTAATAAAGGTCAATTCATTCTGATGGTGATGATTAGTTGAAATAAACAATTTAAGACACCACTCTTATATCATCCCAACAACTACGGTAACACCCTCCCTGGGAGGATGAATTACACATTATATATTGCATTTTAAAAAGTTTAATCATGATAAAGAAGAAGTTGACTGTCCAAATTTGGCTAGTAAATAGGTTTTTATTCTTACATTTGGTAGAAGGCATAATATCCTAGCGGTTAGCTAGTGCATGAACACAGGCTCTTTCTCTGTGTCAGGCCTTTTCCATTAAAAACCTATAAGTCACAGCTATAGAATGTCACTGTGATCTGTCACTAACCTGCATGTGACTGATCTTGACCACTTCATGAATGTCAGAATTCATGACCATCTAACAATATATTATATTATATTATATTATATTATATTATATTATATTATATTATATTGTATGTTTTAAACATATAATATAAATGTTATTGAATAAATAACATTTGCATTGTTTGATAATGAGAAAGGTAGCCGCTTAACAATATAGTCCTAATTATTGATAAAAACAAAATAAGTTGGTGAAATCCTTTTAGCTTGTGGTTGATTTTGTTTTGTAGATGATGTTGGGCCCACCTCAGGTCAACCTGCACCATCAGGTAAGTATCATCTGTAGAAGATTGCTTTTCTATACTGAGGATATGCTTCTGGTGGTTTTGCGATTGTTTGGTCTCTCTCTCTCTCTCTCTCTCTCTGTTCATAATTAAATGTTCCAATTTATTATTGAATTTTACACATATATATATTTGATTTGGGAACAAATCAAGCTAAACTCTTCTGGGCATAGAACTGAAGTGTCACATCAGGCAGTAATGCCAAATGTTTATTTTTTCTTCTCAGAGAATCCAGCGGTCAACTCCTCTGACTCATTGACCAGCAATAGTAACAGTGTCAATGACCAAGCACCAGTTCAAGTGAGTGAGCAGTCTCACGGACCTCACCCCAGCATGACGAGTGGCCAATCCAAGCAGGACGGGTACGAGTCCCAGCCATCCTTAGCCGACGATGTGGACCTGGATTCGCAGACTACACACAAACATCTTGTCAGTAACAACAGTGAACCAGCTTCTACCACAAGAACAGAGGATATTCTGCAAAATGGAAGCATGCATGCAGTTAACGAAAACACCAGGCAGAATCTAGAGAATGGATACGAAACCACTTGTGTAGGGGAACAACCTTCCAGCACCAACAGTGAACCAGTGCCCACTGCGAGAACAGAGAATGTTGAACCAAATGGAAACATGCTAAATAACAAGGACACCAGTGTTGTTAGAGATGGACAGAATTCAGAGAATCCACAGAATGGTTACAGGACCTCTACAGGAGGGGGCCCGCAGCCAGAGAATGAAGATACCAGTGTAGCTCTGAAGAGCTGGAAAGTGAATAGTGGAGACAATTACGAGGAATAATAACTGCATAATAACTGTTCATTTTGGCCAAAAATGGAATTTCCTGATTTGTGAGTTGGAGAAAACTTATTTTTTGAGGATGATTTGATTTGGTAGTAGAATCTTGGATAGGATGCTTTTAAAGATGATAAAATTTCTAATATATCTGTGTTGGCATAGTAATTTTCCCTAAGGGATTGTTATTTTTTGGCCAGCATAATCCTTTTGAAGGAACTTTTGCATGTGGATAAAAAAAATAACATATCAGATTTATTATTATTATTATTTTTATTACAAAATTGTAAGGTGGCATTTGTAGCTTGCCGCATAAAAAGATGAAAAAATATCAAATCAGATATTTCAATTCACGTTGACCCAATTTAGTTGTGTTCCACCGATAGCACATCAATGCAATGAAGCAAATTGATCTGATAAACCCAAAGTGACAAAGTTATTAATAAGTGGTAAGTGTTCAATTAAAGGTTGCATTCATGAATACCTTGAATGAAATGAAACAAGACAAAAATCTCCCTTATCGAAAAGTTAATCAAAATGTATCAGCTCTCAAATTCTCATGAAGATCCAATAAATTGCTGCACTTTCTAGGGACTCTTCTTGTTACTCCATGACTGACAAATGCTTTATCTATCAGGTCATTGGTGTCCTCCTGGCTCCAACTGTAGATAGTATACTTTTTCAAGTAGATAAATGTGAAAAACAATATACAATATCTCACTATTGCTGCTTCTTCTAGACTACAAGAGCCTGCGTACCCATCTCTTGGATTTAATTCCAAAATTTGCAAAATTAAATCCTAAAGATCTCCCAAACTGAAGGAATTATTGGAAAAATTTGTGTTGATGTCTGATTAAAAGTCATGTGTGGAGATTTCAAATATGCCCTTGGATTTGACCCTTGACTTTCAATTCAAGGTCAAACAGGCCAAAAAAATTTAATGGGAATTTTGAAAAAAGAAAAGGGTATTTGTGCCGATTTTCAGAAACTACACAGACCTAACTTATTATATTATGAAAAGATGTTACACTTGAGGACTCTTATGTACTGCATTTTGAAGAGCTTGTCAAGCACTACACTAGAGGTAGTGTCCCTTTTTTTTGATTTCTTCACGAATGTTCTTACTTTAGCTGGTGGTACAATAATCGGAGGCAGTATCGCCTCTCTGATCCACTAGTTTATTTATTTATTTGTTTATTTATTTATTTATTTCATATACTGGAGTGTATTTTGATGGGGTTTAATATGAAAATGCCTCTGGTTTAAAGCACATTGATCCTCCTCCAAATTCTGGTNTAATATAAACATCTATGTAAATATCACGTAAAATGTGTGCTTCACTAACGTAACTAAACTGATCACTTTTCTTGAAGAATGGCACATTTATGAATTGTGAATTAGTTCGGTGACAATAACCATCATTTGTACTCACTCTGCGACTGTGTGGTTGGAGACAAAGTTGAAGCTATTGACGAAGATGTAGTCTTGGGTGTTGGCTGGTCAAACATGGTCAAAGTACTCATAGCTGCCCAGGATCCATTATTAGCTGCTGCTTCTATCCCAAGTATCTTACACATTACCTGATACACGTCTGTGTTATTGATGAGATCCACTTTAGAGTTGGCGTTAAAATCTGAAGTGATGACAAATTATGCACACACACACACACACACACGCACAATCAATTCAAGACAATTTTTGAAATATTGTAGTAATTTAAGGCAATCTGTGCAGATAAGCACATAAAACGTGCTTCTTTGGGACTCAAAATGTGACATCTTTCCCTTTATGTTAATTAAGTGACTACTGCTACTTCCTGGAAGAGTGGGAGAGTGGACCCCTAGACCCCCGCCAAACATGCACAATAGAAATGAAATTAAATTTAACTATTACTGTGGTAATATACTTACTAGGTCCTATGGCATAAAATATGGCATGCATGTCATTTTCTGCATTGTCATAGCCATGTGTCCCTCTCGTGCGAACAACGGTTTTATTATTTTCATTTTCGTCAAAAGTCGGCACATTTGGAGATGCAAACTGAAACAAAAAAAAAAAAAAAAAAAAAAAAAAAAAAAACATTGTCCATTTTATAACTGATCACAAGCACTAAAAGGTTTATCATGATTATACTGATTTTAACTCGACAGCCAGGAACTGTGCGAACACACTTAAAGGTACATTTGAAGCGAGTTGGCGTGACATATTTACCCATATTTCTGCACCCAACCAAATGCCATCTTATTAACATATACATGTAGGTATTACCCCTAATTCTAATTTTATTCTCAATCATACCGTCGTCATGTAGTAGCCACTCTCTGCTAGGACAAATACTGGAGCAACAAGTCTGTGATTTTTATAAAAGAAGCGCTCTGGAATATCTTTCTTCAGATAAGCTGTAAAATATCTCTCCTCTAATGAGTCGTTGTTTAGTTTTTTCACTAACTGAAAATAAAACCAATCCAAAATATTATAGAATCACGAAGACATGTCACATAAATGTCTCTTAGTGTGCATCTCTCTTTAAGGTATATTAAGTATAAACAAATAAACATCATGTCACCCTGTCAATCTGATTGCATTCAGCGAGAGTCCCCGCGGAGTTGGATCGATCTACGTACAAGAATACTTTCATTGGGAATCATCCCCATAGGTCCATAAGATATACAGACTTAACCACATTGTGTTAGTTGTGACTCAGGATTGCAGAGAACAATCCACTTGACGTACCTCGGCTGGTTCGATTGCGGGCCACAGTTCTACATTTGCACCACTGTTCAATGAGCCCTTGATGGGAAAACTGACCAGGTCACTCAAGTCCATCCTCTGGGTCAAGTTAACAACCTCACCAACCAAAGTCATACCTAGAAGCAACTCGGAAAATGTGTATCTATTGAATTAGCTAATTTACTATAAAGCCGACAGGCAGGAAGATAGGCAGACAAGAAAAAGCAAGAAATACCCAAAAGATTTTAGAAATATTTCACAATATTTCTACTCACCATGATCTGCCAGTATGATAATATTCAAGGTCTCCCTCATGTCACTTGTAATTTTCAAAAGTTCAGTTATTGCGTCGTCAAGTTCGTTTAAGGCGGTGTTTAACTCCCTCCCATTTGGACCATATAGATGTCCAAAATGGTCAATTGAAATGTAATAAATACCTGCAACACAAAACAGAGACTGCTACCATCAACATTTACAAAAGACTAGGCTTACATGTATGTATACATATATATAGTCAGAGACCCGGGTGGAAGCAGGCTAAATAGTGTGTATAATGAAACTATGTTTGTGGCAATATAATTCTATGCTGGGATACTTAATTCGTGGCTAGAGTGGTTAATTTGTACATCTGTGCTCTCAAATGTACCTACCCACAAAATCTGCTGAATTATTCCTCAGTGAAGCTACAGCCTCCTTAAGGTCTTGTTTCAGGCTGGCGCCATTTTGTAAAGGTTCTTCCATCCACTCCCTACATACGGAGGGTTTGTGCTGATGTATGGTAACATTACAATTTGGCCAGGATAAGAGAAAGCTTTTCTTGCCCTGAAAAAAAAAAAAAAAACAGAAATTATGCAAAGCTCAAAATCTAAGACATACTAAACGCATTCAAACTGTCCCAAAGTAACAGGTTGAGCAATGATTTGCACGTGGAAGAAAATTAATATATTCTCAAGAAAAATTCAATTTGGTACAATCCCCGATAGGCTTTAAAACCATTAAGAACTGTGTTCTAAATTATCACAGATCTAACAAGTCATACAAATAATAGGATACATGTGAACCACCAAACCTATGAAAAAAACTGCTGTGCATAATAACTTTGAATGAAAAGAACAAATTAATAGTTTTCTGTGTGTGTGTGTGTGTGTGGGGGTGGTCATGTGATCAGATGAGAATTAACGAACCAAAATCAAGCATTCCAAGGAATTTGCTTCTGTCATACATCAATATTTTTCACCTAATCAAAATTTACATTACATCCACCTCAATTTTTATCATGTCAGTATAAATGCATTATGTTTATGGACTGTACCATTTGAAGTGCCTTGGAAAAACTATTCAAATGGCAAACAAACAAAATTTTAATTGGGTCTCATGTAACAAAGGTATTGTAAGCCAGTACTAGTAAG